TCAAAAATTAAATGCATGAAATTCCAGGCAGAAAAGAAGCAGGCCAGTATTTTTTAATAGAACTTTATTTTGAAACGCTGTTATGAAGATTCAAGGTTATGTAGCAGTAGAAGCCAGTGAGAAAGTAGGTGAAGTGTTATGAAAGCAGAAAAGGCTTCCCCAGCACCAAACATCCAAGTTCAGGGGAGTTTTCTGAGGCGCAGAGCACAGACTCGACCTATTTCACAACAGCAGAGCAAGAGCGAGAGAGAAAATATGCTACATTCACTTCACAATTAACTAGAGACCAGAGAGAAGCGAGGAGAAGGGACATGGGAAACCACAACATCCAAGTCCAGAAAAATAGTCTTCACAAGTCTTCACTGCAAAAGATATAAAATATGAGGTAATAAATGCTTAAATTGAGTGTTTTTTAATCTGAATTTGAGTCTATTCTGACCACCAATGGGACAAAGCCATTTAGACTTATTTCAAGAACTGTTGTTTCACTTTCTTATTCCAAGGGACACATTTCTTGTACTTTTTCTTGTCTTTTTCTTTTTAAAACAAGACAAGTTTGCTTCCCCCATTGGAAATTAAAATGTGCTTGGATTAAGATACAAAAAAAAAAAAAAAAAAAAATGCATTTATTTTTCATCAATTTCCTCAGTGTTTGCCTGGGATTAAACAGCCATTTCACACCTTGAAAGATTTTTGCTTTGACGTAAATATAGTATGTAAGTAAGTAAGTAATCTTTATTTATATACCGCCTTTCACAGACCAGAGTCACAAAGCGGTTTACAATTGTTATTATTTGGGCATTTGTCTCTCACTCCACACAGAGATGGGAGTGGTGTCGCCAGTACAGGAGGTGCATGCCAGACAGCCTTTATCCGCGCACCGGGCTGGCACAGACGGGCAGTGTCATGATATTACCATGTCAATGTATATAACCCATACACACACACACACGCGCGCATTGTGCATGTTTTTAGAGGTATAGGGCAATGGTGTAGGTTTGGTTCCAATCTTGGTGGGGACATTCACTACAACCCTTCTATACTAAACTCAGCTGTAGACTGAATGAGAAGCAGTTAAGGATTTTTTCTAATAGTTAAAACAAAATCAATTGGATCAGAGCTTCTGAGTTTTGTGTTGCGTTCATTCTAACTTTGTCCACAAGATGGCTTAAATGTTTATAGTAAATAAGATAGTAAATATATCCTGTATTCAGGATCAGGCTGATATGGTTTACAACCTATCTCAAATATGCTGTCCCTGGCACTTTCTTGAGAGTGACTCTCATTGGCTGCCTCCTAAATAGCAAATACACTGTTATGAAACATTAAAAAATCCCATATTTTATCTTCATAATTCCAGCCTCACCTGAAGCCCAGCTTCGATATCTGCCTGCACTACATCTTCCCTGAATACCTGAGTTCCCTATAATAAATAAAACACATGTAGTACATTAAACAAATCAGATCTAAGCATATACAAAATAAAACCACCAAAAAAACCAAATAAATACTTTCAACCTCACCTGAAGCCCTGAAGGTCCAGCCACTTCCTCATCCTCTACCAGCACTGCACATTCCCTGTTTGTCTGACTTTCCTTTATGGTATTAATAAAAACACACATTCTACATTGCATAAAATGAAACCTAGGCATGGTACACCAGTCGCTAAATATCTCATGAAACTAGAATTGGTTGATGGGTCTAAGATTATAACTGCTTAATCCTAACCTCACCTGGAGTCCTGTCTTGTCCTTGTCTTTATCTCCTTCTTGAATTTCCATTTTATCTCTCAGAGTGTCCTATATTTAGTAAAAGATTTCAGACAACACTTTTTTCATCATTATAGTTTGTTTGAGTTTGAGTTGGCATAGGTAATTTCCAACCAAATGATGTTCTTTAACTTTAGTATGATTCTATACTGAGTTAAACCTAATCCAAATCTACATAATAGCCCTCACCTGAGGCTCTAACAGTTCAGGAACTGCTCTCGATACTTGAAATAAATCATGCTCTGATCTTTCAATTGCCTATAATAAATAAAAACAGAGGAGAAAATATTGAATTAGAATCTACAGTGAGTAGCTCACTACATTGTTTGACATATATGATCAATCTCTAAAAACAATTCATAGTCCCATGCATACCTACAAAATTCCAACCTCACCTGATGCACTGAAGGGCCTGTTGCTTCTACCTCAACATTCCCTATATTGTTCTCTCTTGTTGGTTGAGTTTCCTATGTATGTTAACAGAAGATTAATCATCACAATTCATAATTTGCTATTACTTGTGCTTTCTCTTACTTACTTTCCAACTGTTAAAAAAGCTCCTGATATCTTTAATCTTTTTTTGTGGAGGTGGCATTTTTTCTAAATTATGTAAGAAGATATAGACATCAAAAACAGACATTCATATACATGAACTGCAGAATCATTTATATAACTTGGCCAATGTCAAAAGTTACATAGTATTTCTCAATACAATGAGTTAACAAGAGTTTGGCAATAAGTAACAGTGTGGATTTTTCTACATTTTCTTTTTTTTATTCCACTCTCAACCCAAAAAGGCAAGTAATGACTCACAGGGCTCTCAAGTATGCAAAGTAAAAACTTAAATGACCTGTTGTGGTGTGTTTTGCGCACAACCAGCATGCATCGTTAACGCAATGGAAAATTTAGGTATCCGAGCTTTAATTTCGGGAGCGCTGGTTGCGCTTTGGGAAGAGTCAGGGGAGAGACATGTCAGAGACACAGGGGAGAAACGGGGGAGATACGAGGGAGACCCGCACTTGCAACATGGTTCTGTCTGCATATGGTCCGAGCTCGGTACCATGTTAGAGCTGTGCTTTCACTGAGCGCCGCGGCTGTCATTACAAAGCGGCAGCAGCTGCACCAGGACGTGCACATTCGAGTGCATCGCTTGAATGTGCTTAGAGCAAATAACAGCAAGTGCCCGCTGTCACACATTTCACAGAAATTACATTATCAGCAGATAAAGGTTGTAAATCGTGGATCCGTGGAATATTTTCATCCCTAGTTTATCCTGATTTACACAACACACCCACTTATACATTTTGGATAGTAAGAGCACAATAAGTATTTTTTCAGCCTTTCAACCAACCTGTTTCTTTATTGGAGCCAGTTCTGTTCTGTCTCTGTGCCGTGTGAGCTCCTCGGAACATTAAACAGTGCGCTGACAGATTAGAAATAACGTAAGTACTTTGAATGGTAATAGATCTACAGTACTTTCCTCTGATTACTCACGTACTACAACGCTCAGGGAACGAAAAAAAACACTTGCTTCACGCTGGCTAACTTTTAAAAATTAAACAGTCGCTCAGTGCTTCAGTTTGGCGCTGAAGAAGACAGCCAATCACTGCAGAGAACGGAACGGGTCACGTGCTGCTGCTGCTGCTGTTGCTCTGGAGGCGAGGAGGAGGCGCGACGTATGCACAAACGGAAGACATGTGTCCCGGACCGTCCGGGTCACGGGACATCATGTCATTTTGGTGGGGACTTTTTAGTCCTCACCAAATATTGGTGGGGACATGTCCCCATGGTCCCCACGCAAACCTACCGCCTTGGTATAGGGTAAACCGGAGTACCCGGATGAAACCTACGCAGACATGGGGAGAACATGCAAACTCCACCCAGAAAGGCCCTGGTCCGACCAGGATTCGAAGAGCGCTATCCACTCCGCCAACTGTTGCTTATTTTCCCATTCCTGTACTTTTTCATGTCTTTTTCATTTTAAGCAAGAGAGAAAATATGAAACTGTAGGGAAGTGAAGGTCATAATGTCCAGTATAAAATTGAGATTTGCCATTTGCAGTAAAACCCTATTGGAATACATGTGCAAAAGTACCACAGTGTACACCAGACAAGTACATAAATAAAACAAGCTGCAAAGTACAAGAAACTATGAACGTGAAAGTCACTGTGAAAGTATTACATTATACCGATTTCCTCTAATCCACTTTTACGAGACTTTTCACTATCTAGCTCACATCTAGCTTAAAACCCACCATCTCTACACTACAGTTCACTCAAGACAAGAAAGGAAAGCAAACGTCAGCATTTTAACTCTCAATGGAGGATAAGAAAGCCAAAACTCCTGCTTTAATAATCAACGAGAAGCTCATTAGCACTAGCCACGACGCGTTTAGCCTCGTAATAAGAGGTTTAAACAAGCTAGCATAGGTCCAAGTTGTGGCGGTGTGTCTCTTCTTGCTGAGTGTGCACTTTCCGGAGCCCTCTGCTGATCCCTTGCGTTGTGCAAACTTCAGCAAATGATGTCGACAGAGACTTTCACACGGATCTCCCCTTGGCTCCCCCATCACCCCGTTTAAGTGATATTATCCTTGCGGCGCTAACCTTTAAGGGGGGATTTTGGCGCCTTGCAAAGGTGACAAGATATCTGACGAATGTCCTTGAATGGAATGAATCAAGCACCGGAGTTGAGAGAGGAATGTCTGGCTGTTCGGGATTGTAGACTTTCAAGCAGTCAAATACGATATTAAAGCAAAGGATTGACATCAGGGAAGAATATAAAGCAACAATGTCAGTCCGAAGAGTTAAAGCTGGGGTACCTAACTTTCCAACCACATTAAACATAGTGCAGTAAATTCAAATTCTAGGATCTATCAAAGCACATGTTTTTTGGCCTCTGTCACACCCATAGACTGCATACAAGGAGTGGAAAAACAAATGCAGGAGATGTCAATTTGAACGAAAGCTAGCTGGAGCCAATTTCCTTATATGGGCATTTGTTTCCGACAGGGGGTTAGCTTCAGTCGCTGTGACAGGGGCAGACTAAGGCAAGTTGGAGTTTGTCAGACGAATGAAGACATCTGATTAGTAAATCCTTATAGCTCATATCTAGATTCAAAAAGTCATATTCCGTGGCAAGAAAAATAGAAAGGGACTGAGGAACTCTGTCTGGTAGATGGTTCTCATGAGTGAATGCATTTTGCCGCTTTGTGATTGGAGGCTGTGGACTCACCTGCCAGGCGATCAGGTCCTTCAGTTTGCCGATTTTCTCCAGGTCTTCTGGGTGTTCCTGCATGTACTGGTCATTGAAGAAAGCCTAGGCGGGACAGGGGTAGACCAGTTTAGACAAAAGCTAAATTATCTGGTTCATATTTGCCAAACCATCTTGCTGGTGTATGTATGTCAACGTTATTTGGTGGAAATGGGTCTATTCTTATCATTATAGCTGCATGTTTGATAAATGAACTAATTCTCTACAGGAAGCACAGTATTGCTGCCTTCACTCCTGCCTCTTGTCGCTCTCCATCTGGAAGTCCATTTGTTTATGACATAATGAAGTGATTATGTACATGCATAAGCCCCATGAAAAAAACACTAATTTTTTTCATTAATGCAATAACTCACTGTAAACCAGATTATTATCATTATTTGATTATTGACGTTGTTATTTTGTGTGAAACTAACATGGAGGCGTGGTCTAGACTACAAGACTCTGTGGGGTGGGACTATTTTTTACTCTGGGTAGGAAAACATGGGCTCAGAGATGTTGTATCAGAACTTACTGAAACAGGGAAAAACATTATTTGCATTGAACTCTTTTGGTTTCTTGGTCTTCCTTCTGTGTAGAGATTTGCTCGTGCACAACTATAACTGGGTGCGTGGATAATGTCAGCGCACCTTCTCGTAGTTAGCGAAGCCTCCCATCACAGCTGGATCCACGATGCCGTTGAGCAGCATGGAGAGCGGGTTGATGGGTAGATTCCCGTCACTCAGATGCCTCTGGACGATGCTGCTTATTTTGTCGTTTGCAGACTGCATTGTTTCTATGGCGTTTTCCAAAGGACTGATCTCGACCTGCGAAAAAGACAAAGGCGACTCGTTAATTCACATCATGGCAAGTAGCTCTGAAACAGTTTTGTGCTTTACAACTGTTCTTTTTCTTGCTGTAAATGCTGCTAAAGTTCAATGTTCCTGGTTTTACACTGATCCGGAGCAGAGAGGATGCACGTCCAAACCAAGCAGATCAAGTGGAAATACACTGAAGGAATGCTAGCTTTAAAAAAATGTTTTCACTCTGAACGAGAGCAGAGAAAATGGTCCAAACCAAGCCGACTCTGCAAACATCAACCACAGAATAGGAAGCAGCTCATCAACAGCGCCTACACCACCTCTGCTGCTGTGACCTAAAGTGATGTTGCAGTTTATTGTTAGTAACTTATAACAGAATAATATTTATATCTTTATTTGTTTGTGTGGATGTGTTTCTGCTGCTGGACATCTGAATTAATCCTACATCAATAAAGTATCTATCTATCTAACTAGTGTGTAAATGTTTACGGACGATGATAGGTGTTGGCGAGTTGGTTTAGTTTTTCCACACAGCTCACATGAATCACGAAGGAAAAGAGCAGCAATGAATCATTTCTCCATGTGCTCATACATGAAGCCGTGCCTTGTCAAATGAAGATGAATAGTCGGCTAGCAGAGTTTTAATTCAGCTAAAAAGGATCGACAAATGGGGAAAACAGGGAAGGCGGTTCTGAAACGAATGGCTAGATTTCTTGTGCATCTTATTATTGATTAGATTTCTTATAGTTTTCAGCCATAGAGTTGTAGTAATAGCACATGACAAGTTACTTGAATGGCATCTCCAAGGTTTTGCATAGTAACAATGGAAGAACTCATCAATGTCAATGCATTCTGTGGTGGTAAATTACACACACCAGACCTGCACAAAGTTTTTCATGCTAGCCGACTCACTGAGGAAACCAGTCCTCCGGCGGTCTCCAATCCAATTACTTCACTACTTAGAACATAATAGGACAAGGCCAATATATGCAGAGAATGCCAATAATAAGTGTATTTTTCACTACTTTCATTTAAAAGAATCAGCTTGCTTCCACAATACTCTTAAGAACATAACCGGAAATCCTCAAGAAGTGCAAAGTTTGAAGTACTCGTGTAAATGCACTAGAGAAGTAGTTTTAAAGACCAAATAGTCAATCAATATGTCCCCTCTGGCAGCGGGAGAGCCGGAGTCTGCAGTTATTTTGAGCATACTGAATGGACGGGCAAATCGCATCAATAGCCTCGAGTCCGAGATGCAGGTTTCATTGGATTAGGAGGCGTCTGGTGAATTGAGTACTCACTGTTGAAACAGATGTGACTTCAAACCAGCGCAGGATCCCAGGGAGCTTGTAGAAAGTGGTGTAAGTGGTTCTCTCCAGCCACATGTTCTGCAGAGACATTCCACGGGACGTTACACATAGACATTCAGGATGGTAAATATTGGTTAAACGAATCTTAATGCATTAACATATTTGCACAAGGTTTTTTGAATCATTCATTAGACTTTTGAATCATTCATTAGATTTTTGCACATTAGCTAAAACAATAAACCCATGGAACTGCTCATTTCAAAGATAAAAAAAGAGAATGTTTATTTGTCCCACAGCGGCACACACAAAAAAGAAAAAACAAAATACAATTACATGTAGCTGTAGATCAGTGGTATCAATATTATTTTGATTGGGAGCCAAGTTTAAAAAAACATAAGAGCTGGTAGGGTCCAAAAGTATAAAAGTTTACATGTCTTTGTATTTTGACAAATCCATTTTATTTGACATGAGTTTGGATATTCTTTTTTGGTCATTTTTAATTCTGGTAAAAGCATAAAACAACGAAAGATTTCTTCTTTAAAGCAATGCAAAAAGATACATTTTTTCACAAGACATTTTTAACTTTTTCCACTCCACTATTTTACAGCCTGAAAAGGGTGAGGCTGTTTGAAACTGACTAATGCCGAAACCCAAAGCTAAAGGTATAGCGTTCTTTGAAGTGTAGCACTCCTCGTTATCATGCCTGCTGCTCCATACAGACCATAATTATCTCTCAACCCATAAAAACTTTAAATGACTTCACTTCTGATACTTCTGATCTTTGTGACAAAATAACGAGTCTCATTACAACATGAACTTCACCTGCCCGAAGAGAATAGAATCCAAGGATATTGTGCAAAATGGTTTTAAATATTTGAATGTTTTTGTCACAGGAAATGATTGAGTCCGAAAGCCGCGTTTACTATGCCCCTGTTCAATGCCTAATGATGCAATGAATATTCTACTAGCGCCTCCGTTCAGCGTATAACCTCACATTCTCCTTTATTATGAGCTACGCCGTTTGAATACACTCACAGAAAAGAGGTTTGTTGAGAAATATTTCTGTCGAGAGCTTTAAATAGTGTTGTAGTGTGGATCTATTTGCATCAGGGAAGGTTGTAACTTGGTCCAAAACACATTGATCTGGAAGACGGATTGTAAACAAACAAGATACAAGGCTAATTATTGTGCATTTATTTGCTAATTAGAAAGTTTTGTGTGAGAAATGAAGGGTTGGGAATGGTGTGTTTTGTAACAGAAGTAACAGGATAAGGAAAAATCGTCCACATTTGTTGTGCAGCATTTTTGTGGCTTTCCTCGGCTTGACTCTGACTTCAGCAGAAACACACATTGTCAGATGTTTTTTTTAATAATAAAAGTGGTAAAAAATACATTTTGTTTAAAGGGGGGTGGAGAGTTTCTTCTTTAAATGGAGGAGTTTAAGTATATCAGGGTCTTGTTCACGAGATTTATCGGTGCAGTAGGGTGCAGGGATGCGGTCGCTGTGTCTGACTGTTGTGGTGAAGAGGGAGCAGCGTCTGCAGTCAGAGCTGTATCAGACTGTTCAGACTGTTGAAGAGGGAGCCAAGTCCAAAGGAAAAAAAAGTCAAAAAATACTCACATTTGGCCAAATCTATATTAATTTGTTTAAAAAAAAGATTCAAAAAATGTCTTACTTGGAAGGGGAAATACAGAAACAGTTCTTGAAATAAGACTAAATTTATTTATTCATTTATTACTGGGACAGTGCATATTAATGAACCAATGGCTTTGTCCCATTGGTAAATCTTGTTTTAAGACAGTCAGAAAGAACTCATATTAAGACATAAAAACACTCAATTCAAGCAATTATTACCACATCTTTAATCCTTTTTTGCAGTGTAGCTGAACAAAAAGCAAGGCCATCATAAATGGATAAATGTACCGTATATACGTCACTATTCTCTCCAGTGAATTAACCAAAGTACATTATTATCCGGGAAATATATGCAACTTTTGTACTTATTGAATGCTTTGTTTGTGTGAAAACTCAAGGGAACAACTAGCGATAGGCTTTCAACAATCTCTGTGTTCTCCTGACTATTATACACACGTTAATATAAATAATGATCAAAGGGGAGCGCATGTAACGTAAAGACATCGGAACAAAGGGACTGTGGAGTTTTAGATGAGACTGCGGTGGAATAACAAATGCACGGTTTGGTCTGTGAGGAGCTTCTAACTGCATCGCTAATGTTCCCTGGACCTTTTTGTACCAATACCTGCGTTTACAAAGGAATGATTAAGCAGCAGAAATATGTAATTGTGACTTAAACATTGAAATATTAACTTTATTTTTATTTTTATTGAGATTTGAGTCTTATTTTGCAATCTGAGATGTTTAAGGTTTGATATAAAGAATCATGTTTTCTGATTGGATTAGTTGTGGTCTGATTTGTTTACAGCATTTTACCGTCTTCTGTCTGTCGGGACAAACAGCATGTGAAAAAAGTTAGATACACCTGCTTTAAAGTCATTTTTTTTTACCAAAAATCTTATGCTCTTTTAAGAAATGATTGATGAATATTTGAGTATACGCGGGAGATCAGGCTGCGGATTCTGATCTACTCTGGTAAAACAGCTTGTTTTGCACTTACAATTTTACATTTAATTTCAGAAAGAACATTATTTGATGGGAGTGCTTTCTAATCTGAGCCTGGTAATGGTTTATTATTTTGTACCGATACAATTTTTTCCGAAAAAGGGCTCACATTACGAATATTACAATAGTATCTCATTAATATGCAGGTGAAACTCCTAAAATTTGAATAACGTTCAACAATTCTTTTATTTTTGTATTTAAACTTACAACATCCAATTATGTCCAAGCCTTTGTTATAATATATACATGTATTTTTGGTTTACTTGAGTAGGGACAGATACAGGAAACATGTCCCTAAATAAGAAGTAGGAAAAAACAAGCAAAACAATAGTTGATGTTCATTTTCGCCGACAATAGTTTTTTTTTCTTCTTCCCACTCCTTTTTGAGTAACTGCTAGTGATTCTCTTGTGTATATAATATCTATAATTTTTTATTATGTAAATGTAACTCAGGGTTACATATTCTACTTTTGTTTCTTGTACACTTTTTTCAAAATAAAATATTATTATTGTTATTATTTAAGTAGCATTAGTTGTATTTGGGGTTTTCCAAGCTTTGAGCCAATTATCAACATTACAACACATACATAATGTTGGCTTGGCATATCTTACTTATTATTCGCAATTTATTTTCACATTCTAAGCTGAATTACAGAAGTGAATAGACTTTTGAACAATATTCTGATTTTCCAAGTTTCCCCTGTGCAAACTTGTGAAGCAATGAGACTAAAACACATTCGTCAAACCTGAATGCAATCGAGAGCAGTCCATTTTTGTTGACAACTAATTTGCGGCAAAGACGTTGGTATCGCTCGCACTCCCACCGCACACAACCCAACCCGTTTATCCTCCCTCATAAACCATAACTATAGTGTGTTCCCCGCCTCTACATGGCTGTGTAAATCACTTAATTATATGAGAGCATAGGTTTAACAGCCGGTGCCTGCACACAAAAAAAGCTGCTGATTGAAGGCTCGATAATTACCGCAAACTCGTTGTCGGGGTCGTTCTTCCCTTTCCTCACCGGCCGCGAATACTGAAATTTATGGACTTCATTCACCGTGTAGAAACTGCAAAGCAAAAAGACAAGGAGGGAGAGAGAGAGAGAGAGGAGAGAAGTAAATTAAAATGTTATGGGCAATCTGAAACTTGATTTAAAGGTTGATTGCTTTGCTTTGGGTCAAGCACAGGACAGGGAAAGGACCCAGGAAGGATGCCAGATAAGTTCGAAGTGTTGGGGGGGTATATGTGTCACTCGTCTCCCACCGGTCGACAGCGAGAGGCAGCGCAGGTTAATAGACTTTCCGTGACAGGAGTTCATTTCAATACAGAGCACGACTGTATTTGATAACGGCATTGGTTTCCAGCTGCAGGTGTGAAAAAGCGCTTTTATCCATATGCAGGGGTAGTTTTAATTCAATTGGATATGTATAGCCGTCTCGGAGGACTTTGCAAGGCTGTCGATACACCGACAACAGATCAGAGAATCAAACAGTGCACATATAGAGAAATGCAATAATAACAAGCATAAAAGAGGCATTGGTTCATGAATGTTTATAGTTCTGCCGGATCATCACTGGCCTTTCCAGCATCAGCGAGGAATCACTCAAAATAAGAAAAACATGGGGAAAAAAAGTAAGAAACCTTGGTGAGGCCCACATTGGGAGGGGGTTCAGCTCCCAAGAACATACAGGCTATAAATCCAGGAAATTAAAGTGGTGACTAGTTAGATGAACCCCACAAATACCAACGCAACCAAGGTCATATTTACTGTATGAGTGTGACACCTGCATGTGAAAGCCAATTCTCGGCAAACCTCCGAAAGCTAAGCAGGGCAAGGCCTGGTTAGAACTGTGATGGAAGACCTCCAGCCTCACTCCTGTCAGTCATCTGTGGCTACAATAGTAGTCTATCACCACCGTTTGAGTGTCCAAAGATTTGCTATATACTGTAAAACCCATGGATTATTACTATTATCATTATTATGGATACTAGCTATGACACTGGACTTGTTATTCTCATATATCAAAGCTTTGGAACAACACAAATGGAAAGCAATACTGTACAACTGATCTAACTCAGAAGTGTCCAAACCGGTCCAGAACGGGCCGCTGTGGGTGCAGGTTTTCTATCAGACCCAGCAGGAGCAGAGATGACTCCACCCATTTCATCAAATCTTCAGGTTAAGACTGAACTCACTTGAGGAAATGGGTGGAGTCTGCTCTGCTGCTGCTGGGTCTGATAGAAAACCTGCAGCCACAGCGGCCCATTCTGGACCAGTTTGGACACCTCTGATTTACTAGTTCCTCACCCTCAAAACAGTTTGGTTCAATCACAACATGTATAAGGGGTCTCTGTCACATCTTCAGATCTGCTTTTCAGACAGAAAAGTGAAAAAGATGGGACCACTCTTGCGACTTACAAGTAGAAAAAATATTGAATACTTCTTAATAAGAGTTATGGTCTGATTAGTGTTATGGTCTGATTAGTGTTTTGGTCCAACTGGTTATCTAAAATGATTGTAAAATGTTTGCATCTCGCTCAGTTTCTTTGCCCACATAGTGCAATAAAGTCCGTAATGAGTCTGTTCAGATGTGCTGTTAAATCAGCCGAAAGCGTGGGCCATGGAAAACAGATCCTCAGAGGCTGCAGCCTTCCCAAACACATTAATAAAGGGGATTTAAATAGACTGTAATTAGACCTTAAACATGCTATTAGCAGTGAGGCTACAGACCACGGTACATTTGGACATGGCAAGGTCAGAGAGAGAGATGCTGCTGAGATAGACTAAGCAGAGAGTGGGTGTAGTGTGCTGCTTGATATGGTTCTAAATGAATTTGGGAAGATGAAAGAAGCTTATAAGAAAGTATTGAGGATCTATATGAATGAAAATGAACTAAACTGTTGTGGATATTTTATGATATTAGAGTAAACAGGAATAAGACACTCTTATGTCTCTGTGCTGGCTTCCTGTGGATCAGAGAATAGACTTTAAAGCAGCTCTGCTTGTCTCTCTATGGCCTCGCACCAAAGTACATCTGTGACATGTTATTGCCATATGAACCAAAGTGGACTCTGAGGAGCACAGGGACTGGCTAAAATCATGGTTTGTCAAATTATATGAAATGGTAGTAGTATAGAAAACAGGAGGTAGGTGTAAAAGTGAGTATTTCTAATGGTTGCCGTTCCAAATTCAAAGGGAGAATAACCATCAAAGAGTAAGTAAAAGCCATTCAAAAATACTACAGATCTATCATTACACTGTGGCTTTCAAATAAAGTTGTGACGGATTTTGGTTGATCATCTGCATCCGCTTTTATGATCAACAGTTTTTGAGTTCTAAGAAAAAAGCAGCAATTTTTCCTATTTTCTCTTACCCGGAGTCAATCCTTTTGTCAATTAATTCAAAAGACAAATCTAAATTATGCACCAACACCACTGATAAAAGAAGTACAGCGAGAGACTGGGCGGTCGATGTTGGCTGGGATAAAAGGCCTAGAATTGGCATGAATCACTGCTAAACCCTGCTGTCTAATCATGGTTATTATACGAGTTACATATTGCAATCAAGCGTAGTTGGCAAAACACACTGATGGCTAAAGGCAGGAGGCGTGACCGGGGCTGTAGCGCCAGTGATAACGTGGAGGCACAGGTATATATTTGCCTAAAGGATTCTCTCGCAGCAAAACGTCTCTTTTTAATCATGTCCACTGATGCATCGCACGGTCTGGCTAAGTGGGTTAGCATAACGGCGCGAGAAGCCAAGTGGGAATACATGAGGAGAAGAATAAGGAGAGAGATGGGATGGCTGAAGGAGAGATAGAAGTAGAGGAAAGGCAAGGAGGAATGGCGAGGAGAAATTAATAGATCTAAACCAGGGGTCTCCAACCTGTGGCTCGGGATTTACCAGTAGCTCACTAGCCCCTTTCAGGTAGCTCCCCAAAGGATTTAGAACTAAACACATGATTACATATCTATTTTAAGTATAAATCTAGGGTTTTACAGTATTATGGTATATGTATGTGTTCTCCATGTTTTGTCGAAAGTAGTACATTCATTATTACGACTGCAAAAAGGAGTAGCTCTCTGGCTCTTCTGTGCATAAAAGTACAGTAGCTCTCTGATAGAAAATGGTTGGAGACTTCTCTGCGCTGGCTTCCTGTGGCTCAGAGAATAGACTTTAAGGCAGCTCAGTTTATGTACAAGTCTCTCCATGGCCTCGCACCAAAGTACATCTGTGACATGTTAGTGCCATATGAACCAACTCGGAGAGAGGAGCCGAGTGGGAAAAACATGTGGGTAAGACGGAGAGAGATGGGATTGGGGCAAGGATGAAAGAAGCAGAGATGGATACAAGTAGAGGAAAGGCAAGGCAAGGAAGATTGGAAATTAATAGAGCTCAAAAGTTTGAAAAGGGAAGAGAAAATGGCAAGTATAGAGCAAGTTAGGGAGCACATAAAGAGCAGAGGTGGGTTTTTTGATGTGGTTTGAATCTTGTCTTGTATTATCGGTCTTTCCTTTCAAGGTATTCAAACATCTTATTACAAAAGAGACCATTCACCAGCTCTCGCATGAGGAAAAGTGGGATTTCTGAATGATTCTTTTGCCAACCTTTGAGTCAGATCCAAACCAAAGGCCGTATGAAAGAGATAACCTCTGTGTGGCCTAATCTCTTGATTCAAACTAATAGTCTACCACTTCGGATTGTAGGGGGTGGTAGTTTTGGTTTAGCAACAGAAAAGGCCATGTTCCCCCGGGTTTTAACTCTCGTCTAAGGTACCACGAGCTGGAGCCGGGCCTCGGACCTCAGCCGGGTGGTACATTTAGATGAGGTCCGAGATGTATTGTGGGACCAGTCCATTTAAAGCTTTTAGAAAACAAACAATAGAACTGTAAAATCAATTCTAAATGTGTAACTTGGAGTTGAATCAAGCGCCTTCAAGTCAAGACAATAATCAAGGCAGGTCTCCCATCACATTACTAACCAGGCATTTCCCTGCTAAGCTTCAGAGGTCAGATGGGTTTGTCATGTAAAAGCCATGACACTCAAGTATTCAAGTAAAATGAAATGATATTATGGGAGAAATCATTTTACTTACTTTAAAATTTGCTCAGAAACAGACTTGTTTTGGAATTTTTCAGGAAGGTCGAGGATGGGCTTCACGATAAAACACTGGATGTCTTTGGAAAATACTGTTAAGGATTTAAAAAAGCAACAGAATGTGTCTTAAAACCCATTTTTACTCTCTGGCCATAAACACCGCGTGTGTTTTGTGGTCCTATATATTTTGCATTTTATTATTTTATGTATTTATTTTATTGTTTTATGTTTATTTATGTATGGTAATAGATTTATTTAATTTTAATATATTTTTTAATTTTAATTATTTTTTAATTTTAATTATTTTTTATTTTATTCTAATGGATTTTATTCTATTTGAATTGTTTTTATTTTTGTTATTTTGTATTATATTATTTGTATTTTCATTTAGGGTGAACAGTAGCTCAGTTGGTAGAGCATTGGCCTTTGGGCCTGAAGGTCGTGGGTTCAAGCCCACCGTAAGACCTACTTCACAACTCCCACTGATGACTGCTGTCGTTGTGTCCTTGGGCAAGACACTTAACCCCACTTTGCCCAAAAGCCCCAACTGAAAGATCTCAGCTCCTGTGGACTCACCACCTGCAGGAGGAACAGTGAGGGGCTGGTGCTCTGTGTACTGGGTGCAGCTCTGACTGCCACCCCCCCGACCCAGAAATGGATTAAGGGGAAGAAAATGGATGGATGGATGGATGGTATTTTCATTTAATTTTTTTTAAAATCTTATATATATATTTTTAAATGTTTTTATTATTATTATTATTTTATAATATTTTCATTACTTTTTATTTACATTTTTTGTACTGTTTTTATTTTATTCTAATTGTTGTTCTTTAAACCTGGCAGACTTGTATATTTCAACGTGTTTCTTTTATCAGTGCAACACTTTTTATACTTGTTTAATAAAATGTGCAATATAAATAAAGTGGATTGTATATGTGCTCAAAACATTACAGAACAAACTAATGAGGCCAACGATGATGGAGCCAAGTCATGTGTGAGACTTCCCTTTGGGGTAATGCAACTTTCCCAAAAACTTTGCATAAATAATTCATGATTATTTTTTCATCTTCTTTTTTTCATCTCTGGGTAATCTGAATGCAATTGAAAGCTATTTTAGAGATGGTTGAAGAAGGATACGTTGTCCATGTGAAGTCTTGGTCTCCTCGCTGGGTGGAGTGGTGATTTTCATCTTCTCCGCGTTGGGGAACTGTGTGAGCAGACGAGCTTCGAAGTCCTCCCTCCGCTCGTACTCTTTCCCACGATAGATGAACATTTTATTCTGCAAGAAAAAAAAAAAAAACAAAAAAAAAAAGAGTCAAAAAGAGCAAAGGCGTTGTGAAATTGTGGTGTTTAAAATAAAGATTCCGAGCGGTTTTACGATAGATTACCAAACTTAAATGTGCACTTTATTGATCGCCATAGGGAAATTCATCCGCTGCATTTGACCCATCTAAGGCTTACGTCAGGAGCAATGGTCGCCTTAGTAACAGCGCCCAGGAACCAATCTCCATGTAGATTGGTCAGGACTACCGGAGCTGGAGGACTTAACCTAGTGTGCATGTTTTCAGTGGTAGGGGAAACTGGAGTACCCGGAGGAAACCTACGCAAGCACGGGGAGAACATGGAAACTTCACTCAGAAAGATCCCGTTCCGACCAGGATTTGAACCCAGGACATTCTTGCTGAGAGGCAAGAGTGCGATCCACTCAGCCACCGTGCAGCCCACTTGTTAACCACAAAATCAATATAGCTCCTTGGTTACAGCACTAGTTTGTCCGCTCATGTATTTTTAGCCTCTGTCACACTTTTTCAGACAGAAAAGTGAGAAAGAGAGGACGACCTTCACTCAGCCAATCAGTTCTCAGCCTCAATCATCTAAAAATCAATAACCCATGACCCATCGACTGCACCACCCAACCGACCCATCCCAAAACACATAGTAAATAGGTCCCCTTTAAGTTAAATCAAAAAACAATTTCTCCTTTCCTAGATTTACTTGAATTGAATAGTTTTTTTATTGGTGTGGTTTTAAAATGAGCACAACGGATGTACTTTCTCCTCACCAGCTGAGAGCGAGTTTCAAAAGTTGGCATCTGGACAAAGTTCTCAAAAGTTTTCCAAGCGTTGAAAAATGTGTGACTTTAGGAAACTTCAACATCAACAACAGTTCAATAGTTTCACAGAATGACATCCAAACAGAGACATTTTTACTCCAAAAGTCCTTTTCAAACTAATGAAATGATCTGAAAGGCTGGACATGCATTATTCTTCATAGAGATAGATGTACATTTTATGTCCAATTTTAAATATTTTATCTAAAAGAACAATCCCACAAAAACAAGCCTCCAAAAATATGGCACATCTAATATCTATCATTTCTTGAAACTTATTTTTTTGGACAAACCATATTACATACATACATATTACATGCTGTATTCAAACTTTGTACTGAGAGCTGATTGGCTGAGTGAGGGTGATTCTCTCTTTTCTGTCTCAAAAAGTCGATCTTAAGATATGACAGAGGCAAAACTCACATACAGGTGAAAACTAGACGTCACAGCTTTAAGAACCAATGTTTGTAACAGTTAAAAAACATGTATTTCTACTTTCAATGCAATTAAAGCGCTCCCAGTCCTGCACCAAAAAAGCCTCAGTCCTCGTCGTACAACTTGAGTCCCCATGGTTTCTCACTTTACTTCACTGTTGTCTGGGCCATTTAAGGACATTTATGAACAGTGGTCATCCCGCTCTCAATGAACCAATGTCTCCTATGTGTTTTCATTCTCTGATCTGTTGTGGAGGAATCGACAACTTTGTAAAGTCCTCCGAGACGACTGCTGTTTGTGATTTAGGGCATCCATAATAATAATTCTAGTTTAGTTTTGGCTAAATAGTTTGTGGTGGTGGTTCAAATGGTTGATATTCTAAACAAAATCATTGTAAGGAGTGACACTGGCTCCTTGTGCAGTGTCACATAAGACCATGTTGTTTTGTATTATATTTATCAAAACTAATAAGAAATATGATTTATTCTACTGAATCAAATATGTTGAGATGTTAAACACATTCTCAGTATTCTTGTCACAGAAACAGATCAACGAGTTCCTGAATGTGAGAACCCCATGCTTTTAAGCTCACCTTTTCTTATTGTAATTTTTGGCTGCAAATTAAATCAGAGAAATAAAGTAAGTTCTCACAGCTGCATCTTTTGTTGAATATTTTTTGGAGAACAGCAGGATCGTACAGTTTTAATCAAAAAGATATTAGCTGCTACTTTGCTGGAAGTGAGGTTTTGATGATATTCTCGCTTTGGCTCTAGGAGAAATATCAGATATCATTATGATTATGATTTAAGATTTCCCCTGAATCATAAAGCTGCGAGACAAACTCGTCAGTGTGGATTCTCTGACGCACAGTTTGGACGTGGAACACACAATCTCCTTCTTGGCCACTGAAATTATCCAGACAAAACGTCTTTGAGGTTTTTCTTCTTTTTTAATTTCTTCTGAACCTGTATGCGTGTGGGTGGGTATAGTGTATGTGTGTGTGTGTGTGTGTGTGTGTGTGTGGATGTAGTGTATGGTTGTGCATGTGTCTATGGGTGTAGTGTGTGTGTGCGTTTATATGTATGGATGTAGTGTAAGTGTGTGCATGTGTGTAGTGTATGTGTGTGTGTGTCTGTGTGTGTGCGTGTATACAGTATGTATGGATGTAGTGTAAGTGTGTGCATGTGTGTAGTGTGTGTGTGAGAGCATGTTTGTTGTTGTAAAGAATCACAATTAATTAACAAAAAAGCCAGAATAGAAATTTGTGTGATCAAATTGAGAAAAGATTAAGTAATTTTAACTAATGTGAAAATTTGCGAGGAAGAACCCAGGGGTCACTACTTAACGCTTTGGGCTGAGAGCTGATTGGCTGACCAACTGTGGTTTTTCACTTTTCAGTCTGAAAAAGCTGATCTGAAGATGTGAGAGACCAAACGTACATTCATATTGAACTAAACTGTTTTTAGCGTGAGGAAATTATTAAATTTATTATATTACATGTTATTTTGTTGTTTAAAAGTTAGATAGCCCAGCTTGAACTATACTGACGTGTATTCTAAGCCCGATTAGGTCATATGTGTTGTGTATGTGTGTGTTAAAACAATCATACATAACTAATAAAAGAAAACAAAAATTGTAGTTCAAACACTTTTTTTTCTCTCCTACATTTCCCCCTCAGTTTTCTATCTGAAAAAAGTTGATCTCAAAATGTGGCAGAGACAAAAATACATTGGAACTGAACAGTGGTTAAATTGATTTTCTTACATGTTTTTACATACTAACTATATTGCTCTGTATATTAGGTCAATGACTACATACTGCCATACCTTCTGTCGCTCTGGCAGCTTTCAAAAAACCCATCCAACTCCATCCCCAAAAAACAAAACACATTTCTGAGTGAGAAGGCCTTTGCAGAGCGCCCTCTCCTAAAAATGCATGAGCAGAAACATCCCTTCCTCTCCGGTCGCTGCCCTGGGCCGTGTATCGTGAGCAGGAGAGTGATGGGACACGACAGCTCATATCCCAGCTGCAGAGAGAGGCGCGCGACGATGCATATTTCAAACGCACTCTCACACGGGAATGACAGTGCGCACAAGGAGCTCCGCCTGGGATTAAGTCGCAGGTTTAAGGCTGATGAGGGGAGAGAGCGAGGGAATTAAAATTTGTCTAAAGGTTAAAAAGGCACTGGTGGAGGACAAGGCCAGTGCTATATATTGTACAAAATAAAATAAACTAGGAGGTTGTAATCGATTGAATCAAAAGTTTTTTAAAATCTTAATTTAAGTACATTCTGACTGTGTTAAAATAAGATTTGCCAATGGGACAATGAAATTTCTTGTATCTTTTTAAAACAAGTTAATTTTGCTTTGTTCCATGGGCAAATGTTGCTTTAAGGCAGTCAGAGTATGCTCAAATTAAGATACATTTTGCCAAATTTGAGCCATTTATGACTTTTTTTTTCATAACTTTAGGCAGTGTACCATTTAGTGGGCCTGTAATTTATATTACAGGCCCACTAAATATGAATTCTTTTCTATATTCACAGAGTCCAAGTTTTAAAAGATCATAACTGACTTAGTGTCTCACAAAAGTATTAATACAGCAATACTTGTATTAATACTGTGCAATACTGTGCACATTTTCTCATGTTCACAACCATAAACATAAAGATTGTATTTGAATTTTTTTACTGAAAGTTTACACACAAGTTCTAGATAAGTATGAAGTGAATATAAAATGATACATGATTCTGTTTAAAGTTGTAAACATGAAAAATGTGCAAAAGTTTAAGCTGTATTCATATTTCACTGTATACTCGGCATTTATTTAAGTACAGTAAATGTAGTAATATAGTAGATAGAAGATTTGCACCACTTAATCTTAATCTTCAGCCTCAGTCCCACCACCAAGTTGAATATATCACATTAGTGCAGCAGACATTTGATTAAAGTGAGCAGTTTTCCCTTATTAGGTTGTTCTCGTTAAGTGCCGCATGCCTCAAACAGCAAACGAGTTGTATAAACTAAATTACTGTGCCTTACATAAAATCAATGCAAGCGACGACTGGACACAAAGCGGCTTGATCAAGTATCGATTTTCTCACCCAATTGACTTTGAGACGCCCCACCACGAAAAGCCTTCCTCCGGGTGAGTTTGTCTTCATTAATGGAAAGTATTGTAATGTTTTCTTTCGTGGTATTTTTAAAGCTGCAATGATGAGGAGATATTGAGCTAATAATGCTAACGTTTAGTCCTGTCTGCATCACCCATCAGCACGATCTAATGTCCATTTTAATAATTACAGTAGTCCCACAAGTGTATTCCAACAACATATTATACAACATCATAGAACCACAAGTATAACATCACAGTCATTTAAAGTTATAAGAAAATTGTTAGCTTCAAGGATTTCGCTTATTGCGGGTTATTTTTAGAATGTAAAGTATTAAAGTATTAAGTATATTTTTGCTGATTGAGATATGACTTTGTCTCAAACTAATTCATGTGTTTTAAAAGGCACTGCACTTAATGTTAGTCTTTACAATGTGACAAAAGTAGTTACTAATGGATTCCAAGATGTACGTATTTTATAAAGGCTTTCTTTTTGTGAACTTTGGAACAGTTAAAATTGCATGCCAAAAGTACATTTCCGAGTAAAGGAGAATAGAAGCAATATATTTGAATGGAAAATGTTCTGGAACCAAAAGCTGCCTTATTACTACTTTTGCAATATGCATGCCTTTTCGGGCTGGTTGGGTCATTTGCAATCAATCTACTGCTTTCACATAAGAGCCTACTTTTCACATAAAAGCCTAATATTAGATTACAATAAATGTTCAAAGACGCTTAAATGAAACAAAACCATGGTTGATTTTGAAAAGTGGGGTAAACGGGGTAAAAAGTCATATTCCTCACGTTCCATTCATTAAAAGGTGCAGTTCTTCGGGCAAGCTGCAGATGGCGAATTTTTCAATTATTTCAGTGCAGCAACACTAAGGTCATCAATTTACAGTGTTCACGTGATTCTTGAGGTTTCCTTCTCACAGTGCACATTTACACAGTTTGTCACTGCTCATAGTTTCTATGGGGGAGACCCTCTCTGAGCCAAAAAGCATTATGGGATGGGAAGGCCAAGTACCGAACACATTACAAACTCTTCATGAGAAAGACGTGCAAAAAAAACATTATTCAAGAGAAAACTTACGTAGTGACAAACATGATTTCCTTATTTAACAAACTGTTCATTTTTTGTCCCATTTCAAGACAGAAGTAAACTGTATTTTCATCACTCACATTACACTAACAATTTAACCTGCTGTAATAGGACTTTCGGCCGATACGAGGAAATAGTCCAACAGGAACTAAATATTCTGCAATATGAGAACAAAAAAGCGCTCATGAAATTGGGGCTCTTCATCAAATATTGATGGGCCAATCCAAGAGGTCAGTAAGTCCTGTGTTATGTAATGCAAAGGGGGCGCTATATGTTTGAGGACAGGGATTGCAGGGAGGAACGGGGTGGCCTAGATAAATAAACATGTCGAAAGGGGGAATTGGCGCAGAGGACAAATTAAATCCGGAATGACAAAGCACCACAGGGTTTCAGGTTGAATTTAAGACAGAGTGGAGGACAGTTAACACTCTTTGCGGTGAATAGAAAGACCAGACTTACAAACCTTTCTGATTAAGATTAAAGAGAGACCCAAAAAGACGCATTATTTTAGCTTTGCGTCTGCTTTAAATTGTTTCTATGGTGACGCTAATTGCTCTTACCTGGAACTGTAAGTCTCAATCACACTGGAAAGAACGCAATGACAGAAATGCAACTATTTTTAAGGAAATTGGAATGATGGGGTTTGAATAGATGGAAGATCTGGTTGTAAATGCACTCAGCCTCATGTTTTTCCTAGGTTTTATCTATGTGCGTGTGTTTGTGTGTGCCTGATCTGTTGTTGGCAAATAGACTACTTTTTTAATTCCTCCAAGACGACAAAAACGACAAAAACTACATTGAAATGAAATGTATTTTACCACCTGCCACAGTGTACCCTTTTAAAGCTTAAATTAGGGTTAAAAGGCATCTAAATGATCCAGGGCTGGACAAATTAGGGAAAATCATCCAGTCTCAGCTTGAAATTTCTTTACTTAGGGTATTTTCTAATTACTGTGGTGAGTCAATTTGACCAGAGGCATTGCGTGTAGCTCAAATGTCTCATCCCAATAGAGTATTTCAAGTACATATACAAGATTATGATCCACACAGAAAAAATAACAAAAATTCACACATATACGTTATAGGATTTTTATGGCACCAATTTCCTCTTGTTTTGTATGGACCCGGCAAGAGACCGGGAGCAACAGCCTCGTCGATATTGTGATGCAGCCCACGGCCAAAGTGCAGAGGAATGGGTGTCCGACTGAGGTCCGAGTAATAGAATTTAAAGCCACAGTTTGCGAGGCAATCACAGCTCTGATGGGACAAACACGATTTGGTTGGCGACGTGGTCATTCATCAAGCCTCCACTGTCAGCAGGTTTTATTGCTATATCCTGGAGAGGCTGGAGTTTGTTCAGAGAGGTGAACATGGGGGACAGACAGAGATTAAAGGTCCGGGTACATGTTTATGGGATCAGTAAATATAAATGGGGACAAAATATTGCACCACACAAGTCGTTCATGTGGACAATAGTCGTGCATGAACCTAGAATAAACAGAGAATCACACAGGATTTGAGTCAAGTTTGTGGACATGGCCGAGGTGCTCTGCTTATCATAGGGGTAAGAAATGTCCAGATATAGATCAAGTTTGACTAATATGTATTATTTTTACCTCTACTACTACGACTACTAATGCTAACGCTACTGCTAGTGCTTTAGCTAGTATTACTACTGCTACAAATGCTTCAGCTACTACTGCTACTGCTATTACTACTACTACTGCTTCAGCTGCAACTACTAGTGCCGCTGTTACTACTACTACTACTGCTGCTACTAGTAATACTACTGCGGCTACAAGTACTACTGCTACTAGTAATACTACTGCGGCTACAAGTACTACTGCTACTGCTGCTGCTACTACTACTACTGCTACTGCTGCTGCTGCTACTACTAATACTACTGCTACTGCTGCTGCTACTACCACTTCTACTGCTACTGCTACTTCCACTACTACTACTATTACTGCTGCTGCTATCTCTAGATCCTGGATCCTTGTATTACCCTATTGCTGGTTGCAAAATAAAGAAGACAGATGGTTTGCAGGTGGAGAGTATTTCAAAACAAAACATTTTACAGTTATTTTTTTCAAAATTGTTCGGAGCATTTCATAATACATATTTGATAAGCTCTGAACGAGATGTGTGTGGGACTCACCCGGAGGAAAGAGGGGAAGCCCAGGCCGTAGTATCCCACAGCAAAGTAGTCCGGTTTGGGCCGGATCACCTTCACGATGTTCTCGTAGAACTGAGCCTGCTTCCTCTGGAGGAGAAAAGGACACAGGTTTTTTATCAAGATTGTGCTGTATTGCATATTTAAACTGCAAAAGTCTGCAAAAGTAGGCAAGTAATCTTTATGTATGAAGCACATTTGACGGACTAATTATTGTAGAAGAGGCAACTGGAATCAAAAGTAGAGAAATTGAGGGAATCTTCAGAAAGCAATTAAACGCATTGACTAATGTGGTGAATCTGGTTTGAAAACAAATACATATTTTCTAACATGAATATTTTTTTCCCCAGGTCTTCTGCGATTAAGAAAAATAAACACTGACATTATATAAAACATATTGTATCTCACCTCACTCCCGCACCCTCTATCTGGGGTCTCACAAAGAAATTCCGCAATCTCAGTCAATAATAATAATAATAATAAGATTACACTTTAATAAAACACTATTCAACAAGAGTTCATTCTAACCTGGATTTGCATTTGGACAAAACTATTCGATCTACTCACAGAGTCCGTGAATGGTGGCACCACAATAGAATATTAAGTAAGTTATTTTCCTCTTTCTGCAGGATTGTTTGGCAAAAATAAGAGACAAGTACAAGGCATCACTTACCAAGGAGGCACTCAGCTGCTCATAGTCAAACATCTCATTTTCATATTGTTCAGCCAGCTCCTTCCCCAAAGTGATGGCCTCCTCCCACATCTATGCAACACATAAGCAAACACAGTCAAATCATCAAGAAATAATATAAATTGTAGCAAAAAATAATCCACTTCTGTCTGAAACATTTTCTCAATGTTTTCTTCGCTGTCGGAGAGGTGCTATCCGGTCGATGAGCTATTTGAGGAAGAAAGGCTGAAGGTATCTAGTCAAAAAATTGCTAGTTTGTCTGAGAAGCCAGCAGGAAGTCGATATATCTTTGTTTTTAAAATCATGGGAAAATCAACCAGCTTTAGATACATTTAATTGTTTTATTATTTTTCATGTCATGTCTGGCGCTCTTGTGGGAATGGCAATAATTGTATATGAGCGCTGTATACTGTTCAAACAAACATCTTTTCTTGCTCAAAGAAATCCTTTTTGATTCACTTTTTCTTTTAATAAGTAAAAAAGCACAGAAAAGATCATAAAGACGACAATAAATACCTACAGAATCCGACCTTGAGAACAAGCAGGATATGTTAAAATTGCGGCCTATGTGAGATTTCTTCTTCAGCCCATGACCCATGAGAACGTTAGCTGCAGTACCGCGGGTGGCCTCTGAGCACGTACTTTGGAGACAGGCTAAAGCTAGTGACACCCAAGCTGTTAAAGTCTTAAAAACAAACTACACAAAAAAAGTTTGGACTGGTTCATTGCCTATCCAGGGGCAGATTAATGAAAGGGTGGCTACATATCTGCACTTACTGTATATCACTAGCAGCATATTGTCATTGGTGACGGATAAAACTTCTCTTTCTAACGCTGCACACAACTTCTCACTTAACGCCAGTCACTCGAATTATCAGTTCCCACTCCCCCCCTGGCATCAAATCATACTTTATCCTCAACAGTTCAAATATTTTATGATTGGATTTAAAGCATTTGATATGATGACTTTGGGAGAGAGATGGACAAACCGCCAGCTCTGAACCACTTAGTAAAGCAGCAGAGCCTTAATAAAACAAAAAGTGAGCTGTCAGCTGCCGCCTGCCCAATTTTCTTGGCTGTCAACGCTGTGATCGCCATCGGGGCTATTCTTCTCGCCTCGTCCCCATAAGAAAACATCTGTCTGCTCATATTGGAGGTTGTGGAATGTCTGCTCGATGCTACGACGTAAAGACAAGAAGGGGTGAGCTGCTTAGACCCAGGATGTGTCGCTACAGATGCCACGCGAATGTTCAAAATGGCGTCCTAAACAGTGGTAAGCATAGTAAGTAAGTAAGTAAGTTCTTGACCCGCTTTTCTGCTCATTATTTATTAACTTCACAAACTGCTACTGGTGGTGGTAAACTGCTACTGAAGCCACAGCTGCCCTGGTGGTAATTATAATTCAACTCAATGTATTCTTGTATAGACCTAAATCACAACAGTAGGGTAGTAATCTTGGAAGACTTCACACAACCTTTGAATTCACTAATACTGATCAGAGAATCAAACAGTTCATAAGGGTAGACTAAGAGAACGCTGCAAAAATAACAGTCATATTATTTTGACTGTCAAAAAAATAATTGCAATGAGACAATCAATTGATTCTTATGGGACAAGCACTTTTGTCTTAATTCAACCCAACATTCTAGGTGACATATGACAATAGATGCTCATGGGAATAGCTGTTTTTATCCAATTTTATTTTGTAATACCTGTATGCACATTTCAAGTTAAAATATTATGCTTGCTGCTGTACCAGTGGGGGCGGGTCCTGGCTCAGAAGTGGCCAAAATGACGTGCGCTGACATGCTAGCAATACCACCCGGGGCCGATGGGGGTGGACCCGGAATAAGAATGAATGCTAACATATAGCATTAGCTGACCTCTTGAAAACGTCTTTACAGGATGGTCCAAAAGTTGGCTCTTGGCCCAAAGCTCCGTTCCACATGTGTGTCCATGTGTGTCAATGCTGAGGGAGGTGAATTTTTTTGGACCACTCTAGTTTACTTGCTGTGAATTTTTGAAGTCACTCGTTTAAATGAATGGGGCTCGTGCCGGCTGACGCATGCACAGACTCCTTTTTTCACATTTTCCAGCCCCCGCTGCCATTTTGAATCACTTCATGAAAGCCCAATTTTTGGCCAATTAGTTAGAACGGCGGAGATAGGCGTGACTACGTCCGTTAATATATACAGTCTATGGTATGGACTGTATCTGTTTATTGTATACAGAAAGGATGTATATTTCTTCTGGATGAAGTATTATAGTAGGGGGTGGAGTGGGATAAGAGGAAGTAAACCTGTTCTGTGTGTGAAAAATGTGTAAATGTTAATTGTTTGTATTGCATGTGTTTGTTTTATGTTATAGGACCCTCTCGGAAATGAGGTGCTGCAACTCAAGGGGCGTTCTCTGAATAAAATCAAATGAAATCAATGGATATCATAGTCAAAAATTCAATTAACTTTAAACCCTCCTATTTTGTACAATAAGAATATTTTGAACAGGTCTTTGCTACTACTAGACAAACTAACCTGACATATTTTCCACTGTAACTTTCAGCTTTAGTCCACGTACAAACATATATGGCTAAAATATGACTCTGGCCACATGTTTTGTTCCCAGCAGAAGAACAGGCTCTCTACGGCGTAGTGAGGCAATGAGTGAAAAATATAGGATTTTTCATCCAATCACACCCAGAGGAATGGAGTGGCACTCGGCAGGTGGCACAAGTGGTGGCATTGTGGGAAATATGGAGCCATACAAAGAGGCCCTATTAGAGCCACAGGACTTTGAGATATGACTGTAGACTACAGCCCAAAGGCGCAAAGAAATGTGAAAATATATCACGGTTTAATGAGATATTGAATTAACATGAACTGAAAATAGTCTTTACAATTGAAAGCAAGTTTTTGAGGCAATTATTTTTTTGTCAAGAAATACCAAAAGGATTTATTTATTTATTAATTTTCAAGCAGGAACATTTTAGATTTGGATAATTGTAGATAATAAGTCTGGACTATAAAGTGCTTTAGATCAAGCAAAGATAATTCCTTTATATCAAACTAATACATATTCATTTTGTATTTTATAAATAGCAATTTTTTGACTTTACTTTTTATTGTTTTTAATGATAATTGAATGAAAACAAAAATCTGATTGGACAAATCACTTTACATCCTTGATTAACAGCTGAGGCCGCTCCCCATTGGTCGAACCATTCTTCTCCAGAAAATCTTACAGCTGATGATTATTGCAAGAGGAGAAACTGATTAAAATATATAGGAAAATTAAGGATCAGATAGTGGAATAACTTGTATTATTTTCTACATGAAAAGCATTTGCAGACCTCTCCTTTAAAAGACATGGTTAGAGTAATTGTAATAATGGGATTTTAGGTCCTTGCTAGTAGACAAGCTTACGTTTATTGTGCCATGGGGAGAGATGCTTCAAATATTTCATATGCGACTGAGCACTGGGTGAATAATCAAAACATTTTCATAAATGAGATGCAGAAAAGGGTGATTTTACTTGGCAAAAGCTTTGAATCTCTGTAACATTGAGTAAGCGTAATTCCTTTTTATATATTTCATTTTATTTCATTTGTTTATTTCTTTCGAGCCCATAACATTACACATTTGTTTACACAACAAGCATCCCACAACATTGCACAAGAACAGAACATGATTCACCAATGCTCCTGTGCCCTGAAGAAAAATAAAAAAATAAAACATAAAACCACCTATTACATATTCACATAGGCCTTGTTGTTCATAAGCACACTCCAAGAGCTCGAAAATGGAGTGGGAAGAAGAAAAAAACTTATAAACTCCCACCCCATGTATATTATGATAAATCATAATGTTTCATAAAAATAATAATTCATCCAATTCGCATCACATTTGAATGATACGCCGCAGCGGGCTCAGCACCTCACCCCGACCGGTCCCAGAGACAACGAGCAGCACTATAGCAGCAGACAAACTGCGCAGAGGATGACCCCGACACACACACACCAGCCCTCCACAGCCATGCCCCGAGTCATCACCCCCATGGGAATACATGCATGTTTCCTATACCTGTTTATTTACTCTATTTTATTATCTTTATTTATATATATATATATATATATATATATATATATATAATATATAATATATACTATATATATATATATATATATATATATATATATATATATATATATATATATTTTTTTTTTTTTTTTTTTTTTTTTTCATTCCATTAGAGAATCATGATTGTTTACTTTCCCTGCTCATGCCTTTCCAAAGGAGCCGATTATCACCACAGTGACTGTCATAGCTCCAACAAGACCAGCCAGAAAGCACACACATATCATTCATTAATATTTATGTTATATCTACTATCATCCAATTTTCCCATTGATGTTCCCCTCCAGTCATCACTACAGAATGCCACCATGCCCCACCACAGTCATCCCTCCACCCAGCCAGCCGCCACCACAGCACCTACCCCTCACCCCCTAGGACCAACCAGAGGCACAGCCCCGCCCACTACTGCATAATCAAATGCCACGATTATTCTATTGCATAGCATATAATGCAAACACATAACACACCCCCTGTACATCTATAAGAATAAAAAAGAACAAAATAAAAATAAAGAAACATGCCTGTAAACTGTACTGTATTCTAAGCAACCAAATCATCCTACTAGCCTTATTGTCGTTTACAGCCCCTCCTGCTTATATTTTTCAAAGGTAATTTCTTGAAATATTTTTTTTAAACCTTCTTACATTTTGACATTCTCTCACTCGCATATCCAAACTATTCCACAGTTTCACTCCCTGAACAGAAACACAAAAACTTTTCCTTTTACTTTTCACCCTTATGGTCCTATAGTTAAGTAAACCCCGTAAATTGTACCCTCGTTCCTTTTGTATAAATAACTTTTGTATATTTCTAGGTAACTTACCCTCTTTTGCCTTGAACACAATCTGAATTGTTGATAGTGTAACGATATCCTGTAACTTAAGTAATTTAGATTCCACAAAAAGTGGGTTGGTATGGTCCCTATAACCTGCAGAGTGTATTATCCTTATTGCTTTCTTTTGTAACACAACCAATGGCCTTAGTGATGTCTGATAGGTATTTCCCCACACTTCTATACAATATGTGAAGTACGGCAACACCAGTGAACAGTAAAGCGTGTGCAACGCTTCCTTGTTAACCGATTGTTTGGCCTGATTTATCACAGATAAACACCTTGAAATTTTCCCCTGCAAATATCCGATTTGCGATTTCCAGTTAAGTTTTTCATCTATTAACACTCCTAAAAATTTCATTTCAGTTACCTGTTGAATTATTTTGTTGTCCAATCTGATTTCAATTTTATCCCTGCCTTGCGAACCCCCAAAAATAATTAACTTTGTTTTCCCTAAATTTAATGACAATATGTTTCTATCAAACCATTGTTTCATCTTTATCAGTTCATTATTAATGTTATGGACTAATGAGGGAATGCTGCTCCCCGAGCAGAAAACATTTGTGTCATCAGCAAATAAAACCATCTTTAGTACCTTTGACACATTTGTTATATCATTTATATAAAGTATGAATAATTTTGGTCCCAACACTGCCCCCTGTGGTACACCACAACAAATATCCCGGTACTCTGAACACGTATCCCCCAGTTTCACAAATTGTTTCCTGTTCGACAGATAACTCTTCACCCAGTCCAAAACCTTCCCCCTTATACCATATCTTTCCAACTTGTCAATTAAAATGTTATGGTTTATGGTATCAAATGCTTTTTGTAAGTCAAGAAATATTCCAATGGTGTGCATTTTCTTATCCAATGAGTTTGTTATTTCTTCAATAGAATCTAATAATGCCAGTGCCGTTGACCTATTTGACCTGAACCCATACTGACTATCACAAAGTATTTTATTTTTCTCTACAAATGCATCTAATCTGACAGTGAAAAGTTTTTCTAATATTTTTGAAAATTGCGAAAGCAGTGATACTGGTCGATAATTAGTGAATTTATGTTTGTCTCCAGATTTATATAAAGGGATCACTTTAGCTATCTTCATTTGATCAGGAAATGCACCCGATTGAAAAGATAAGTTACAGACGTATGTCAGTGGCTTAGAAATCCCTTCAATAACATGTTTCACTAGAGTCATATCAATATCATTACAATCCCGAGATGTTTTGTTTTTACATTTTAAAACAGTGCTTACGACTTCTGATTCATCAACATGATCAATGAACATAGAACTCAGATTTCTTTCGACTGTAGCTTGACTTGATGGATCATTTCCCACCCTTTCGATTTGTTTCTCCAAGTCTACTCCAATATTAACAAAGAACTTGTTGAATAAATCTGCCACTTCCAGCATATTTTCGTTTTTCACACCTTCTACCATAAAGTACCTTGGATATGAGATCTGGCCTTTTGACTTCTTTATAACATTGTTTAATATTTTCCATATTTCTCTAGCATTGCTTCTGTTATTGTCTAATAATTTACAGTAATAATCTTTCTTTGCAGTTCGTATTATATTTGTTAACTTATTTCTATATATTTTGTATTTACATTCGGCCTCCTCAGTTTTTAATCTAATGAATTTCCTGTACAATTTTTTTTTTTTCTTGCATGCGTTCTTTAGCCCTTTTGTAATCCAAGGCTGACCTCTTTGCTGTAAGTTTATATTTACTCTCCTCAAGGGACAGTTCTTGTCATACAGTGTTCGGAATACTTTTATGAACTCATCGTATGCATCGTCCACATTTATCTTTGTGTAAACCCCTTCCCAGTTGTACGCCATTAAGTCTAATTTAAAGGCATTAAGTGTTTCTTCTGATCTTATTCTTTTATATTTTATGGCTTGCTCTTTTTGATAATACTCACATTTGTTACTGAAAACTACAAACACTGGCAGATGGTCACTTATATCGCACACAAGCAGTCCACTTATTGTATCCTTTAAGATATCATTTGTTAGAATATTATCAATTAATGTAGCACTGTGGGATGTAATTCGAGTGGGTCGAGTGATTTTTGGATATAAACTTAATCTATAGATAGTATTAATAAAATGCTCTGTCATTTTATGTTTGCTAGGATTGAGGAGATCAATATTGAAATCTCCACACACTATTAACGTTTTCATTGCTTTTTTGGCAAATAGTGCCTCAAAAGTCTCACAAAACTGGTCTATGCATGAGCCTGGCGTTCTATAAATACAACTTAAAATAATATCTTTGCTTTTTTCTTTGTGAATCTCAATTGTAATGCATTCAAGCATGTTATTTATTACTAAAGTCATGTTTTCCACAATACTGAAATTCAGATTTGTGTCAACAAACAATGCAACTCCACCACCACCTTTGTTTTTTCTGTCCATGTGTACAAACGCATACCCATCCAGTTTAAAATTTCCATCCTTTGCATTTGTTATCCACGTTTCAGAAATTGCTACTACATTGAAGCGCTGCTCAATGCTCTGTAAATAGTGTTTTAAATGCTCAAAGTTTGCATACAAACTTCTACTATTAACATGAATTACTGAAAGGTTATCTTTAAGACTGGTTTGGTTGAGCATGTCATCTGTGTAATATGCACAGTTTTTTTCATCCATGCTAGCAAAAAAGTTATTGTCCGGGTCAATATCCTGCTCCAGGTCCAGACTTGTATTTTCTGTAAAAGTACATGTTTGTAGTGATTGAGAGATTTCACCAAGCCTCTGACTTTGACTTGATGACATATCTTCTAAGTTGAGAGATTGGGTCCCTGTAATGTCCTGCATTGCTTATGAGTGCTCTCTTACCTTTTTGTTTCCAGACTTCACACATTTATTGGTACCTGTCCAATTCCTCCATACTCCGAACAACCAGAACCTTCGCCTCTTCTGGTGCTCCGTTGAGTTTGATGAATACCTTACAACTCGATATCCATGTGTGCTGAATCTTTTTCGTTTTCTTCAAAAATCTTGCTTTTTTGGCAATTTCCCCGTTGTGCCTTGTCAGATGCTCATTTATGTAAACATTAGTTCCTTTGAGCTTTCTTCCCTCCTTCAGCAGAGCAATCTTGTGCTTCCTATTAACAAATCTGATTATAATGGGAGGATTTTCTCCAGCTTTTCTCCTGGGCAACACATGGCAAGCTTCAATGTAGTTACAGTTACACACATTCCCCTTTTCTACTTATTGGTATGTATTTTAGAATTATTATTGTCTTTTATATAGTTTCTCTAGTCATATAGAAATAATTGTGTTATTTTTTCTATTCTATGTATCTTTAATCCAATCCAACTCCTCTCCTAAACCATTTTGTATTTTTTTCTTGTCTGTTGCATTCTCTTATGTACAGTAAGTGTGTGTATATATGTGTATAAATATGTACACCAGATACATTATTGTACATAATTTATAGTTTGCGCTGGAACTGAAAACTTTCACACAAAAATAAAATAACAAAAGTAGTACCAGTATGTGTAGCAGACACACTGTAATAAAGAAGCAGAGAGAAATAGAGTGGGCTTTTACCTTCCCCTTGTCGAAGTAGTTGATAATTTGTTGGTAGAGCTGGGCCTTGAGCTGCCCCTGTGTGGAGGCCTGGTACGTGTCCCTCTGCGTGAGGTGAGCCGCACACGCCTCATCGGACCACTACGAAGAGTTGAACAAACGTAAATCAGCATTTTTACAGGAAAAATATCCAGAAACGATTGCGGGAATGTTTGGTCTGCAATATAGGTTGGCCTTGTCCACGAATTGACAAAGTGAAAGAACTCTACAGTATGGTCCCAGTGGGGGAATAGCTCAAACACAAAATTTGGTCATTATTCAGTCAATTGTTACCAACCGGCTGACACCAACTCTCCTCTATATTTACCAATATTAGCTGGAGTTTGGAGTTTAATCTTTCTCTGTGCCGAGATTTTTACCACTAATAATTGGTGTAAATGAGTCATAAAAGTGGTCAAAACTACAAATAAAAAAATGATATGATATAGGTTTGCCGTGTAGAGGAATTGACAGTGATCCAAGTCTGTGCTATGATCCAAAAACACAACAAAAACATAGACAAAGATAACACTTTAACAACTATTAATGAAAAGAGACACATCAGACAATATTAAAGCTAGGGTGCCTAACTTTTTCTTCCTCATAAATAATCCATGTTGTTTGTTCCAACAGATTAGAGTCGTAAATGTAAAAATCCATCCATGCCTTTCTGAATTACCTTGTTAACAAACATGAGCATCTCCACAGACGCCAAGTAACTATTGGGATGAGCAAAGACGCAAACCCAACATTTACATATTACCATATGACTAAACCATTTGTAACTGGAAAAGAAAGCATGTAACGATTGTTTAATGCCGTACTGTGAAAATGTTCAAAGTTAGTGGATGTTATGTCGATGCAAAACAAATGTGACTCGTAAAAAAAGGTTGAAAAGCAGATCTACATAACAGTGACAGAGAAAGGGTGCGAGGAAATCCATTGAGAAGTTATGGTGGATGTAAACGGTGAATGCGAGGTGTAAATCAGGTGAAGGCCGCTGAACTCTGACGGATATGGACCTGGGCCAGAGTCCAGTCGATACTATTGAATGAAAACAAGATGGTATCAATAGTGTTCTGAGGCCCATTAGCAGCACCGGCAAACAGAATTCTGCTCAAGTCCATATTTGGGCACGAGTTTGACCTGTTTTCTACCTGCAGTCATAACCACTTGAAGCCGACATGTCAAACTACAAGAATGTGTTCAGTGGCCCCAGAAATGATTTTAATATATAGGAGGATTTTCTACTTCTGGCTGGATCATTAACGCTTCAAGACTATATGTTTTAATGACATGTTATACATTTTAATGTTTTAACTAATTATTTTTATATTGTCATGTTTGCAGTGTACTTTGATGGCATTTTACACCTTGCCTTGGGACAACAGTTGGAAACAAGGTGCTAGCTAAAACTGACACATTTACAGCAATCTTGATTAATGTGTAGCGCCCCTATTCAAATAAACTAAACCCCGTACATAAGCTTGTGTAGCTTCCTAGGGTGTCCATTTCTTTTTCCCAGTGTCACAAAATTAGTTACAAACTCAATGTATGAACAAATGTGTGATATTGTGAAGAAGAATAAACTGAAACTGAAACTGAAACTGACTAATAAATAAATAAATTGGTCATCCCAGTTGTCAATAATTATAATCTGGTGACACGTGCTTGTCAAATAAGACCTTAGAGTTTTGTTGAAAAAGTGGAGGGGGTGGCTCTTTCCAGCGATTTTTCCAAATGACTCAAACCAATACAAACAATAATAACAGTCGAAAAGCTGTGAAAAGTCTATAATCAACACATCAACTTATTACAAAACACTATCGAGAATATTAGCAGAAAATACGATCATTTTTAGCAGTGGTCCATCTAACATTTACTTCAGGCACAAGTTGGATCAGTATTCTGCAGGGGGAAGCACAGCCCACTGAGATCTTGTATTTGACAGAAATCAAACTATATTTGTTCCCCTGAATGCGAAAGGATGAGATTTTTGCATACAGAAAAGAAAATGCACACTCTAATATTTCAACCACAGTGCTCTCGGAATTTTGAGCGGTGCTGTTGCTTCGGATATTGATTTTTCCTGCTGCCGGAGTTGTGAATTTGCATTGGGATTTCAAATTAATCCGTTGAAAGCAGAAACTGGCCACAGGGAAGGCAATACATCTCTGACAGTAAACGGTATAACGGGAATTTATCACATCGCTGTCATCGTACAAGGTTTCTTAAGTGGAATAGTGAGTAAGTAAGAACGTAATGAAAGCTTTTGTATTTGAAATAATTGGGGAAAAACTGACCGACTGCAACTTTGGGTTTTACTCCCGCCCTTCATCATAACTATGCACACTGCAAAAAATTATAAAATATATGGGAATGAATGCTCAAATCAAGTGTATTTTTTTAATCTTAAACTGAGTACATTCTGATTGCCTGAAAACAGGATTTAACAATGGGACAAAGCCTTTTAGTGTTATTTAAAAAAACTCATTGGCTTTGTCCCATTGGCAAAGCTTCTTTTAAGGCAGTCAGAATGTGCTCAATTTAAGATACATTTTGCCAAAATTTGAGCGCAGTCTTTGATTTCATCTTCAAAACTTTTTGGAGTGTATTTCAGGGGTATCAAACCGGTCCTCAAAGGGCATGTGTGGTCATGAGCGTTGGGTTCCTCTGCAGAGTCAGGTAGGGTGAGGAACTCAGATACACGGAATAGGATGCCTCCCTGGTATGTTCCACCTGGACGAGACCGGGGGAAGACCCAGGATATGCTAAATGGAGGGATAAGGTCTCTCAGCTGACCCGGGAACTGTGTGTGGTAGGGAAGTCTTGGTATAGATAGCTACCTCCACAACCCGGCAACGGATGAATTGGAAGAAAATGGATGGATGGAAGAATTATTCCAACACCTGAATGTAATTTCCAACTAAATGTATAAATGTTTATCAGTATATTTTCTGCTTAAGACATTCTTTCTTATTGTAAAACGTTAACTTCAAGTTAATGTAATGCTTAAGGGACAAAAGAATCATGACATTCAGAAGCCATAAACTTACTAAAGACAACAACAACCTGGAATTGTGTTGCATTGAAACATAAGCGACACTTTATAAAAAAGTAGAAAGATTTAGGAAGTTAAACCATGTCAGCGGGGAAGGTTTGGACTAAAACTGTTCTAATAAAATAACAGTAAAATGCTAATTTGTGGTCGCTCTGGGAGAAATCTGGGACTCGCAACTTTCTACTTCCTCTGGATCTGTGCAGAAGAAGAAAAACGAAACAAAACTGGGACCCATTTATGACAATCCTCCGGAGAGCTCGGGTGCAATCACTTTGGGAGAGAGAGTGGAACTGGGTGTACCAAGAAGAAGCACGGGGGGAAGAACCACAGAGCGACTTGTGGAGGAGTTAATCCAGAGAAGAATACAAAAAAATACAAAAAAAACATACTGTTCAATGTGTAAAAGAGAAGACTCAAAAGTTTTTGAAATGATTTTGGTTGTTAGATGTTTGTCACAAGTTAAGAGGTTAAATTGTTGTATTCAAAGAGTAACCATTTGCATCATTCTGGTATTATCTCACATGATTTAGGATGAGATATAATAAAGAAATACAGTAGAAAAACTACAGTAATAAAATAGCTTTCAAAAGTTCATTCATTTTTGTAATTCACCTCAAAGTGTGAAACTAATAAAAGGTGAAGACCCAAGTGACATATGCCAAGCCTTCGTTACAATTTTGATAATAATAATTTTATAGTCCATTATAAACATATTTTTTGTCATTCTTTGCTGATGCACGAGGGTTTAAGGGCGGTGATAATCCGCCCTTAGACAGTTAAGGACATTTTCTTATTAACATTAATTTATGTAGTTATTTTGTCATCCTAAGGGAGACATTTCTTTTATCTTTTTAAAACAAGATAATTTTGCTCATCGTCCCATAGGCAAATCTTGTCATAAGGCAGTCAAAATGTGCTAAAATAAAGATACGTTTAGCCAAATTTGAATAATATTAGCAAAATACTGGAAAAAAAAACACTGTTGGTGTGATCTAGCTCTATACAAAAATTAACTGATTTGAACTACTCTCATTTTCTTATGTGTTTTAATTGGGGTTTTTAACAAGCAGCTGTATGCCAATAATCACTATTATAGCAAATACAGCCTTGATATATAAATATTCGTAGACACATAATATAGTTTCACATTGTAAGTAAGTGAATGGACTTTTGAACGAAACTCACCGTTAATTGGATAATGTGTTTAACTTCAGAACAATCTAAAAGGTTTCTTCATACACACAGGTATCTTTGAGATCACATCAAAAACAAAATAAGATTGAAATCAGATGGGACTTTGCTGCATTAAAAATCAAGAACAAAACTATCACAAGACTTCAGTCGCACGTCTCATGTCTAAAGTCATTTTCTATATCCGAGACAACGGCTTTGATGGGTTCTGTAGTCTTTAATCTTAGTCTGGCCGTGGGCATATTTGATTTCTGTGCATATTTTTGGTTGGCGGAGTTCTTTGTGGTCAAACCTTGAGCAGCCGTGCGTGGAGGAGCAGTGTGTAGGCCGCCTCTGTGTAGTTGTCGCACTCTTTGTGAAGGTCGCACAGCTTGTACAGGTATCTGGAGAGGAAAAAAGAAGAGCAATGATTTATGGGTAATGTCGGAGAGGCACTTAAGTAATGTGCAGGAGTGGAGCGAGGGTAATACACTGTGTTTTTCAGACCACCTCAGAGGCTGATGGAGATGACAGGCACAGAAGACATCAGATATATACTCTGTGTGTGTTTGGAAGAGGCTTATTGTGGGGTCTCAAAGCAAAGGGGGTCAGGAGAAATCACCAAAGCTTCTGGTACATTGGAATAGGTATATGTAAGTATATTGTGTGTTTGTGTACAAGCAGATACAAACTATGGACACTAAGTCATTTAACACAAGAACTCCCAGAGCAGTCAATTTGACGGATTTTAGTTTTGAAAGATATCAAATTTGATACGCGCTTGATATGCGGACCAATTGTCATGGTAACGGTCCGAGATGGGAAAATATCAGACCGCTAATCAACCAATCAGAGCGCGCGTACGATCCAAGTCATATAATAATTTAAATTACGTGTACATTTTTTGGTTTATTGGTTTATTTGAATAGAGACAAATAGATAATCAATAATACAACATGAGGTCTATAACAATTATTTTAATGATTTTCTAGCAGATTATCCATTGAGAGAGCAGAATGAGTCACTCAATTGTGTTGCCGGTTTGTTAGATAAAATGTTAGCCGTTTTTTTGCTCTAATCAATTGCTTAAAACACAATTCACAAACAAAAAATTCCACCACACATACAAATATTTAATGAATAAGTATGAGGTGTGCTGTACAAATAAACTCGCCCTGCCTTAACGTGTTTGCGTCATTTTAATTGGTTATGAGGATATGAATTTAAACTTTCGAAATCCTATGGAAAAGCGTATGGTTGTAGACAGTGGGCGGTAATCCTGTTTTACTGAATATTGTTTCCCATAACTAGCAAACAATATTATGCTATGAGTGAAAAGACAAAGCAGGGCAAGGTATATTACATGACAATAATAATAATACAAAAAAAAAAAAACTCTTACCGTATGTACATCTCCTCTCTGTCTATGTCTTTATAAAAATTCTGCAAAAGAGAGAGAAAGAGAGAGACAGAAGAAACAACATGAACCACATAATCCAACGTAAACATCATTGTTGGTTATGGACACTGTGGAACTGCCAACACGCTGCTCATACTTAATCCCCTTTTGTAAAACATGACCAAACTGCAGGAGAGAAGCGTGACTCAGGCAGAATTTAGGCCACGAGCTCCAGCGATGTGAGTGAGAAATTTGACATTTCCAAGCTCAGAGATGAAAAGGCGTTTTTTCAGCGAGGAGGAACGGTCTCAGGTGAGTGAGGAGCCGGATCCCAGGAACAGTGTGACAAAGCAGAGATGCAGCTTTTTGTTTCCAGTCGGCGAGCTTGTCAAACGGCATTACAGGACATTTCTCCGACAGAGATGAGCCGTTAGGTGAATTGTGTGATGATAACGGTTAAAGCTGGGGTACCTAAGCTTTTTCACCCCATAAATAATGCATGTTGTTAGTCCTGAGATACATAAGACTTTTGAATTTATGGACATTGGTCATCTGCCCCTTATGGACTATTACCAATGTGTATTCTGTTTTACTGCTTGTGTTTGAACCGTTTGATTTTCTGATTTCAACCATTTTGTAAAGTACTTTCAGATAACTACTGTTACAACTAACATTTTGTGTTCACTGTGACCCTACATTTCACTGTCCATTATTAACTGCAGTTGCTTTTAGCTTTGTACCGTTTTTAAAGCAACCTTGAGTGCCCTATCAATAAAATGTATTATTATAAATGTATTATTATCGTTATATTAAAGCAGCACTGTTTGTGTATGAGTCTCTCCATGAACTTCCACCAAAGTACATATATGACATGTTAGTGCCATCTGAACCAATTGGGACTCTGAGGAGCACAGGTACTGGCCGCCTGCTGGGACTCTGAGGAGCACAGGGACTGGCCTGAAGTCTAGACTAAAAATGGGGAGAAAGCGTTTCAGATTTATGCAGCAAAAATGCAGTATACGATGACCTCTATCTTGTTTTGTTAACCTCTTTGAGTTATGTATGAACTGTGCTATACAAATAAACGTTCTTGCAGACTGACCAGGACGTTGACGGTGCAGCTCATCCGGTTCTCCTTGTTCTCGTCGTGCATGATGGTCCTGTAGTCCAGCAGTCTCTCCAGAAGTCTCACCACCAGCGTCACAAAGGTCTCCCCGTTCTTTGACAGGTACTTGTGCTTCCTGCAGTGCTCCAGGAGGCTGAGGAGGCGATGACACGGGTAAAAGTTAGGATTAAAAAGTAATGAGGGCTTCCAATATTAAAAATGCAGACGCAGGAGAGATCTAGCAGTCCTGGTTTAACCCTGCGACGTGATGGGAATGAAGACACACATTGACGCAGTGTTTACTTGAAAAATTCAACAAACCCTACAAGGTTTTACAGTGTTTGTCATGAGTCATGACCAAACTGGTAAGATAACAAATATATAGCAGACAAAAAAAATCACAGACTTTACAGGTGAAATAAAATGTTTGGACCCAATAGGCCGATTTCATTCATTAATTTATTGAAATGTATGGAGAGGCCTCGGTATACATCATAATAGAGCTAGATGACTCAGTATACGTGAAAATTGAGCAAGAGGCATACGTTAGAGGTTTTAATTTAAAATAGAGTTAGAGGCCCCAGTACACATATAAATAGAATTAAAATAATGGTATTTTTTTAATGCACTGATTATGATGATTTTGATTCTCTTCTTGTTTAGTTAAGAACTTTGAGTTTCCTTGTCTTGTGGAATCAATAAAGTTCATCTTATCACATCTTATCTTATCCATGACAATTAAACTTGCCTGCTTGCATAATGCATGATTTGTCCAAGTGTTAAAATCTGTCATTGGCTGAGAAGGATTCCAAAAAATTGCCTTTGGCTCAAAAACTAAATTTTTATTGGTTAATTCATCTTCCTAATCCCAATATATAGGATGAGGACGGTGCAATAACTTTTTTTTCTCCACATAATTAAGTCAATCTTTTTTGTTAAAAAAATATATCATCATTCTGACATCTACTGCAAAAGTGAAAAAGGTGCGCTGATGGCCTTCCAGTTACTATAGCAGCAAAATATGAAATAAAAAGGACATATTGCTGCTTTTTTTCTGAGTGCTTTTCTATTGCAACACTCAGCTACACGCTACAAATGAACACATAGAATAGCTATGAATATACTAATCTATGAGTATGCAGTTAAAATGACGGTATACTTGTAGTTTTGATCTAGATTTGTCCTTGTTATTAGGAGCCAAAGCAGAAATAGTGGTAGTTAGATCTGCGGATTGTTAGACATTGTAACTATCTCCACTTAATTACATAATTTATTCCTTTACTTCAATCACAATAATTCTCCCCCTACTTGAGAACAATTGTGTGAGGGCTCGTTCGCATCTCCAGCTCTTCTCGCTCATCGGCAACGAGTTTAATAAATTGCCAGATCTCGAGGACAATTAGGAAGTCCTTTGACGGGTTCCAGATTTCCATTTTAGATTGGAGTTTGGTTTCCCCTTCGCCCATTAAGCCCCCGACAGCGCCGCCGCAAACAGCGTTCCCAGCCTGCTGCGAAACGGAGCCGTGTGATCACAGACCGCTGTGCCAGACTACGGCGAGCGCAATTAGCATTAGCCAAAGTTATCAGTGTGTGTGATACAGTATAGTGTGAGGAGATGCGCTTTTGGATTATCAGGATAATCTTCTGTCCGTCACCTTCGTTCATTGGGGTCTCTTCACCAGATGTGGATTTAGGTTTGATTTTGACTGCCTGAAAACAATATTTTCCTATGGGACGAGCAAAATGATCTTGTTTTAAAAAGATAAAAGAAATGTCTCCCTTGGAATGAAAAAATAAAGCAACAGTTCTTGAAATAAGACTAAAATTCAAGTGTACTAGTGTTTGTAGATAGAGAGATAGATAGATTGATAGAGCAATGTTTTTGGGACACAATAAACAACAAAGACTGGATTCCTAGTGGCAGAGCTGAAGTTGGCTGAAGGACATTGTGAACTTGTGTTTATGACCTCAAAAACTGTCATGAGTGCGATAGAGGGAGTACAGTAAACTTGACACAGAGGGCCACTTTTGGCCAACAGGCCTTAGTTTGGACATGCACGATCCAAACAAACCACATGCATATGGCCCAGAACAATGTTATCAGCTTTATGCGTGGTGTTTTGCTCCTCCTGAGTTATCGTCACTTACATTTTCTGGAAGAGGACTTTGTATTGCTCGTCTCCGCGGCCGCCCTCCACTTCGTGATCCAGCTTGGTGATGATCTCGTTTTCGAACTGCAATTAAAGACAGAGCAGGCGTAAATAATCTGCAGGGTAATTTTTCAATTCATTAGTAGCTTCTCGAGTCCCTGTGGCTGGCGTCACATCAGGGAGCAGAGGAGCAGAGGAGCGGGGGAGAGGGGGAGTGGAGGAGTGGAGGACCGTTATCAGGAATCGTGACTGTGCCTTGTCCCCAGCTGTTTAAACGCTGCAGTTTTGTCTTGTCAATATCCCAAAGATCTTCTATTGACGACTGATATTTTGTTACATTGTTAGATAGTGAAAGATTATTTGCATCAGGCATATCCATCCATCTATTTTCTTCCCCTAAATCCATTTCTGGAAAGGGGGGTGGCAGTCAGATCGGCACCCAGTACACAGAGCACCAGCCCCTCACTGATCCTCCTGCAGGTGGCGAGTCCACAGGAGCTGAGATCTTTCAGTGGGGGCTTCAGGCAAAGTAAAAAGTTTTTTTTTTTCTAGCTATGCCTGCATCAGGCATCAGGCATAGCTAAGGGAAAAAAAAGAAGAAAAACAAAAAAATATGACAGACAAACATAATTTCATACTGCTACTGGATCAATCCGTTTTAGTTTCATTTTAATCGCATTTGACATTTGTTTCCTCTTTTCAATTGAGATATTGCTTGACTTAATTGCTTGAAGCAGGGTACAGCACAGAAAATTAGTTTCTGTGAAGCACCCTGCGAATGAAAACTCCTTCCTTCCTACTTACCAAACTATTAACATGAAAAAACATGCTGTGTATAATTGAACAGTCAAAAGTAATGGTTTATTAATAACCTGCAAATTACTTTTATTATTGTGTGACTTCTGGAAGGGGCTCGTGGCCTGGAACAATTGAGAGTTATTCTACATTAATAACAAAGATGAACATGCTTTAGGCCACACTGCTGAATATTATAGAACCAAGTAACTACCTCTCCACTGAGATGAGCAGGTAAAGGCCCAGGACAGTTCTTTCGTAGTCTTTGTTAGGGTGTTACACACGGTTACTGAGTTAGAAGTCACGAGGAGCCAGAGAGAGTTGGAGCAACATTTTTGTCTATGAGCACTTCCTTATTGGGCTTCATTGAGCTACAGGGTAAGCATTGTCATTTTTTTAACCTTTATTTAACCGGGACAGTCACGTTGAGATTAAGAACCATTTTTTCAAGGGAGTCCTGGATCTTTACACAGTCTGTGGTGAAAGGGTATATTTTATCTTCAATAGCAGGATATCAAAATAATACAGCGACAGATCCCTAGTGACTAATTTACTTGACAAAAATAGGTTTTTGCTAATGCTGAAAAGGTCTGTATAGGTTACAAAGCTCTTTATAGGCTCATGTATAGTATAAACAATCTATTTGAGATGACTGAAAATGATTTATATGAAACAAATAAAAAAAATGAACACATACTAAACACAACAATGGTTTTGTACGGAACTATTGCTGAAGAAAGAATTGTAAAAAAATCCAACAACCATTAAAATAGCATGCCATTGTAAAACTTCCCAAGACATTTAAGACCATTTTTGATATCTCTCATTTCATTCCACACTTTATTAAATAAATAACTCATGCCCGATTTCCCTGACGTGGCAAAATCAGACATAGGTGCAAGTGGATGGGACGGCAGCCAAGTCCCAAAATGCAATAAATGCCAGTGTTTTAAACCCTGGATTTATACCACGAGGCAGTAGAAGCTGTTCGGAGTCAGATTGAGGAGAGCGGTGGATTGATTGGACATAGGAGGAGGAGGAGGAGGAAGGGGAGAAGGAGGAGGCTGCAGCTGCATTCACTTGTAATAAGCTGAAGCCTGAGTGACATATTCACATAATTAGCTTGAGTTCCGCAGTAGCAGTAGAGGCTATTAGTGCAGAGTCAATGTAATAAAGGTCTCCCTCCTCCATATCAGTGTACACAATACTGTCTTTCCGTTTAGAGTCGAGTGAAATACAATCGCAATCCCGCCTGTAATAAGGTGACGTGAGTAACTTTGTAACTAATACATAGGTGTGCGGGTAGCTTCTGGGGGGGGGGGGGGCATCCATCTGTCTGTAGTGATTTTACTCCTATTGAATAAATGGGAGTAAAGTGTGTGCTTCCACAGGGAAATAAGTTAAAAACATTTGTCTGTAAATCTGTCTACAAATCTCAGCCTACTTTTACTATAACTTTGGAGTTTGGTTCAATCCAAGCAAAACCATAAATAAATGGCATATACATTTTTTTTTTCGTAACATAAGTACAGGCCGATGTTTGCCTTGTTTCGGCCATCGGCAAAAAAAAAGATATTCCAATGGTAGGTGCGTGCAAAGACATACCGGTAGAGGGCGTCCGCGCACTTTCCTCAGTAAGAAACAACGAAGATGGCGGCGGTCGAGTGGCAACATTTTACAGTATCAGAATAAGCGTTATGCAGTTTGCAATACGTGCTCTAGTGAGATTTTGTGACTCAACGAATCTCATTGGACATTAGAGAAGCAAGCATGAGGCGGTGTACAGAAATTGCATGCAAGCTGAAGAAAAACGGAAAACTGGAGCTGCCAAGAAATAAATAAATGACTAAAAGAAACAACATTGACCAAGTTGTTATGTTAAACATTGGTATCGGCCCAAAATTTCACAATAGATGCATCTCTATTGTAAACGCGTGAAAAAAGGTCCGGTTCGCCAGAATATGGCATTAGATATGACAAATATATTCCAATATGGCCCCCCAGGAGAAATAATTGCCCCTGCTTAAGAAGGACAGTGAGAAATACAAACATCCAGAATTTTTAAATCTATTGCTATATAAATAAAGGAGTACAACCAAACGTCTCAATATTGATGCCAGATAACTTGATACAACTATAAGTTCGAGGAAAAACTCCCGCCCTCCTATGTTTTTCATTTGTTGACTTCAGCTGTCAAACCACAGCATGAAATAAGGTTTGAAGTTGGCTGGCCATGGTGCTTTCAAGGGCAATCGTAAACAAATCTGTTTATTATGACAGAGCTGTTGATGCAGAGAAAGCATGGGGGGATCCTTTTTTTTTCATATTGTTGCTTTTTTGACAAAAAAACTGTTACTACAAATTGCTTTTAGTCATGATATTTTTTTTTCCAGCTTTGAGCTATTGTCAGGAAATACATTTTTTGCCTGAAACTTGTCCACCACACCGTCCTTTAGAAAACGCCCAGTCCAGTATCTCCATCTCTCTATACTTATCTGTCATACGCCATGGACTGAGCTGATTTTTGTCTTTTCAAACACATGTATAATAGTGAGCAAACGGACGGTGAGGACTGAAGACTTCTTCTGTTCAGTCATCACCGCGTGTGGAGTAAACTGAAAAATATTGGAACTCAAAGAACATTGTGAAGCGCTTCGGGTGACATTAGTGACAATTCCTACATTGGCACATCGTCTCTAAAAAATTATCTGCTCAGCTTTCAATAAAAAATTACGCATTCCTTGCATGCAATTTTAATAAATTGCATGCAAAAGTCCCCATCTATTTAAGTAAAAGACTTGCTACATAAGCTTTACTCAACTCAAATGACACTAAAATCCAAATGACGACGAGGCCTATAATAAAGTCACTGCTCAAAACGTGTGCATTCACATGGAAACCATTGAACCCCAAAATGACTGCAGTGGAGTGTAATATCTTGAATAAACTTGCGTCGCTCTGAGCTGCAGCTGTAATTCTCTCCTGCAGATTTCATGTTGTTGTTGCGGCGATTATACAGGGCCACGCTTTGCAGAACTTGACGTTATGCCTCGTTACTGTGCAGAATTAAGCCCATTTCCACTCGAGGTAATCGGTTTGGCCACAGCTGTTAGGCTCAGACGCCGTTTTTGCAGCTTGGAGATATTAATTTATGTGTGCGCTTTTGAATTATCGTTATAAAGTGAGGAAAGAGGTAGAGACAGGCAAAGCTATCTACAAGAAAGGCCTTTTATTTCAAAGTGATATTAGTGAAGAAGAGACATCATTCCTCTGTCTGCTCAGTTCAGGTCAGTTACACTTCATCGTCCTCTGTTCTTGATCTGGACCAGAGCTGTACATGTTTGACTTAGTGGCAGGGGAAACTGGAGCACCCAGAGGAAACCAACTCAAACACTGGGAGAACATGCAACTCGTCCGCTCAGAAAGGACCTGTTCCGACCGGGATTTCAAAACCAGGACCCACTTGCTGAGAAGCGAGTGTTAACTACTCAGACACCGTGCTGCCTATCTATTACCCCTGGGTGAGCTGGAAGAAGTTTTTATGGAGAGGGAAGTCTGGAAGTCTCTGGGCTTAGACAGCTGCCCCCGTGACCCGGTAATGGATAAAGCGGAAGAGAAAAGATGGATAGATACAGTAGCTATCACTGCTTGAATAGAAATTAACCTTTATTCAGCACATGTATCATAATCAATTGATTTTATGTTACATAATACAATTATTGATTGATTGATTAATTGATAATAGAGTACATACAATATTTTTATTAAACCAAATACCAATTGCGTCCAAGAAAAACGTACAAACAGTAGGAGAATGGAAAATACTCCTCGACTTGTTCAAAATCTGCTCGAGGAATATGCAAGGTATGACATTTTCTCATTTTGTTGTATGATAAAATATATGACAAATATATTTATCATATATTTTATGCCATCTGAAGTGGAGGAGTTCAAGTATCTCGGGGTCTTGTTCACGAGTGAGGGAAGCATGGAGCGTGAGATTGACAGGCGGATCGGTGCAGCGTGCGCAGTGATGCGGTCGCTGTATCGGACCGTTGTGGTAAAGAGGGAGCTGAGCCGAAAGGCAAAGCTCTTGATTTACCGGTCAATCTTCGTTCCCTCCCTCACCTATGGTCATGAGCTGTGGGTAATGACCGAAAGAACGAGATCGCGGATACAAGCGGTCGAAATGAGCTTCCTCCGCAGAGTGGCTGGGCGCTCCCTTAAGAGATAGGGTGAGGAGCTCAGTCACACGGGTGGAGCTCGGAGTAGAGCTGCTGCTTCTCCACGTCGAGAGGAACCAGTTGAGGTGGCATCAGTTCTGGATGCCTCCTGGACGCCTCCCTGGGGAGGTGTTCCGGGCACGTCCCATTGCGAGGTGGCCCCGGGGAAGACCCAGGACACGCTGGAGGGACTATGTCTCTCAGCTGGCCTGGGAACGCCTTGGGGTCCCCACGGACGAGCTGGAGGAAGTGTGTGTGGATAGGGCAGTGTTTTTCAACCTTTTTTGAGCCAAGGCACACTTTTTTCACTGAAAAAATCTTGCGGCACACCTCCAGGAGAAAATGTAAAAATATATACAGTACTAATGTAAAAAAATATATACTGTACATACTCTGTGTGATATATAAAGTATATCTTATCTTATAATGTATACAGTATACTCTGTAGCCTATATTCACAATATACAGTTATTCTCATCAAAATGCTTAAGTCCAGGCCTTGAAATTAAGCTTTATTAAATATTTCTCGATACAATTAACAAGAGTTTGGAAAAAAACTAAGAAAATCCACTCTCTGCCCAAATAGTCAAATAATAACTCACACAAAGAACATGCATTGTTAGTGCATGGGAAAAATTTTGGTATCCGAGCTTTAAATTCAGGAGTTTTGGATGAGGGACACGGGAGGTCCTGAACGCGAGTCCATGGTTCTGTCCGGTCCGCATGTCTATGGTTCTGTCCACTCGACTACGGTCTGCGCTCGGTACCCAGTTCAGAAGTGCGTTCGCGAGAGCTGTTGTACAAAAATCGTACATTTCATAGTTAAACCACTACAACGCGGCCACAGCTGCCCCGGGGCAGAGCGGAGGATGTTAATCCTGTTCAGAAACGGCATAATTCATTTTCAAAAACGTCTCTATCACTTTCACTTCTCACTCGCCACAAAGCTCTTGTCTCGCTCCCTCCCACATTTGTTGGTCGCATCCAATTTTACCTTTCTCGCCACAATGCTGACCTGTTACAGCCAGTGGTCGCATCCAATTTTTCAGTTTCAAAGTACTTAGCTATCTGCTGCCATCTACTGATTTGAAAAAGTATTACATGGTTACTCACAGTTCAAAACAAGTCACCGCTCGTCAACAGCGAATGCAGCTATTTTTAGACAAAGTAGACGAATTTCTCACGGCACACCAGACAATATCATACGGCACACTAGTGTGCCGCGGCACAGTGGTTGAAAAACACTGGGATAGGGAAGTCTGGGCGTCTCTGCTTAGACTGCTGCCCCTGCGACCCGGCAACGGATGAAGCGGAAGAAAATGGATGGATGGATTTATCCCAGGGGCGACAGTAGCTCAATTGGTAGAGCATTGGCCTTCAGGCCTAAAGGTCGTGGGTTCAATTCCCACCTCTACACCTTCTCCACCGACTCCCACTGATGACTGCTGTCGTTGTGTCCTTGGGCAAGACACTTAACCCCACTTTGCCCAAAGCCCCCGCTGAAAGATCAAGGCTATGCTCACACTCAGAGAGCAGCCGTCCTCCTGTGAACTCACCACCTGCAGAGGGTCAGTGAGGGGCTGGTGCTATGAGACTTGGGTGCATCTCTGATTGCCACCCCCCTGACCCAGAAATGGATTAAAGGGTAGAAAATGGATGGATGGATGGACCAAATGAAACAAAGAAATGTTGAAATGTTCCTTGTGTGTTTTGGGAGCGGTACGTACGTGGTGGAAGCTGCAGGTGGAGTGAGACTCGCACTGCATCATGTCGAAGAAGATTGGGATTGTGGCTTTTCTCAGCTCAATCTCCGGCACAAGAGTCATCTCCAGGATCGGTCCCACCATCTCCGGGATGAACTTGATCTTATGGGGACCTGCAGGGCGAGCAAAAGGTAATAAAACATATCAAACTGGGAAATAAAGAGGGATACGATGGTCTGCTGAGACTAAGTTTGTCGATAAAGTTCAGCATTTCCACTCAGGGCAGGATTTTGCAGTCAGAAGCAAGACTATAAGTTTATGGTAGACGTTGCCCTGTACTTAAAAACCATACATACAGTAGATAAAAGAGCCTTGTGAGTCACAATTTGACAACTAAAAAGGTGATCTAAAGCTGTGACAGAGGCCAAAAATACATGCATGTAAAACTAGCTAATAGATTTCACAATATATTTCAATGCTTTTATTGTTTGGAATTTAGGTACCCCAGCTTTAATGTCAGCTCTGAATCACATCCATGTGTTTCTAATTATAAAACATATTTTATTAAAAATGTATTATAAAACATATTTTTCTAGAGTTGCAGTAGATTAACATTAAGGTTTTCTCTCAATCTTGAGTCCATAACTTTATGCTAGAGTTTGAAACTGTTTGATTCTCTGATCTGTGTTGGCAAATCGACAGCTTTGTGAATTCCTCTGAGATAACTTCTCGAACTGAATTGAATAATAGTCATATATTGTCTTAAAAAGATGGGTTTTGATCTCAATTGGCTTGCATTATGGGCAATTTCCAGATATAAAAAGGTAAAAACTGTTGAAATCCTTCATGAAATAATGTAAAATGTGAAATGCCATAACGTTTACATACTTGACTTTTTTCTACTATAAATAAATCAACAAATGATGATTGTATCTGGTAAATATAGCCGTAAGCTAATGACGCCGTGGTTTGACTTAATAGTGTTTAAATGTGTAATTGAAGGATCAGGCTGAGTTTAGAGCGAGGAAACGTCTCAAGTCTCACTCTACTAAAGCACTTTCATGCCCCATAAAACCAATTAACAGATGTATGGCTGCTATTCCAAGCTGCGAACAGAGCAAGAGGAGGTGAGGCCTGGGAACATACTGACGGTTACAAAAATAGAGGTTGTAAATAAGCATGCAAGAAAGGTTGAAAAAATATTTATATATTGTAATGTTTTGAGACCTATGGAGGAACCATGCATATAGTATGTACTTGTCTAAACAGTATGTAATATTGAATTATTTGGAAATGAAGGACCAGCGAAAGAGACTAAAGAGACTAGAGAGAGGGATCCGGGTAAGGCCAGGGGAGACAAGAGTGAGAGACCAGAGAGAGGGGCCCAGATGGAGACCAGAGAAAGATCTGAGAGAAATCAAAGATAAACTAGAGAGAGAAAGACCAGAGAAAGACTAGATTACCAGAGAGAGTACAGGTTTAAATTTTTTTTAATGATTTACTTACCCAGATTGTACCACATGTCTCGGATCTCGAAGCCGATCTGCCGTCTCATGTCCTGATATCTGGAAAACAAGGGGAAACGTCCAAAAGGTTAAATAATGTGACAAGCTCTTGTTAATAAAACGTCTCTCCTCGCCTTTACAGACTACTAAAGTTGAACTTAAAGCTGGCGTACCACACTTTTTTGTCGTAAATAATACATTACATACACAACTAATAATAATTTGCAAAGTGGAACTGCAGTGGTTTGGTGGATTTGGGTTTGAAGGTTTTGTACCCCAGTTATTAGTAGCATCCTTGGTTTGTCCAACTCATTTCTTCCATCCATTATCTAGATCAACTTAGCTCCAGCCCATGTGACATCAGCTGGGCAATTTCAATTAACCAAAATGAGTGCTGCCTTACATTTTACTAAACTTGATGCCATATCTTTGGTTAAAGAGGAAATACCCATTATAAACTGTCCCAAAAGTAGCTTAGTGAATTACAAAAGGTGTTTAAGGGTGTACAATCAGATGTAAAAACAACGGTTAGCAGCTCAAAGAAGTGCATTTTACATAATTAAAACCTGTGACAGCACCGCCGCTGCCGCCTCAGGCCCTGTGATCTCGCCACCCTGAATAAGTAATGCGGTTTCTCTCAGGGTGCCTTCCATTGTTCTCATAGGAAATCAAAGTTTTATGGGCAAAGACAGGGGAAGGATCACATCCAGCCTGAGTCTCGGGCTGAACAACATTGTCATGTCTGGGTCGTGAACCAATCATAAGTGGCGGGTGGCTTCTTCCTCTGCAAACTGCACAAGGTGAATGCAGTGGACAGCGAGAAATAGAAAACTCCAAAAAATGAAAGTGGAAAGGCTATGGTAGGGTCACAGCATCAGAGCACGGTCGCAGAAGCAATAAGGCAAAAAGTAATGGCTTATACCTCCGAAAACAATGGATATTTGTTAAGAAATGTAACTTCAGGAGTAAAATTGCAAACCTACAGTGCCATAGAGCAGCCTTATGAGTATTATTCAATCCCCAAAAAGTCTGGCAACTGCATAGATAAGGTGTTTCCTCGGTATCGTATCAAAGCGACAAACTGGAAATAAAGAAAACTGAAAACAGCCTAAAGGAAAATAGAAAAATAGGAGCAGCAAGCAATCTTTTTTAAAAATGTGACTTTAAAGATAGACAATCACATAATAGTTTTACCCGTTCATTTAGACACTCAAAAGTCACAAAATGGAAAGGCAAGGCAAGGCAAGTTTATAGGGCAACTCAAAGTGCCTAATGTCCCAATACAAAAGCATGGGGGTCATAGATTGATACATTACAGGTACAGTACAGTTTGGTTTTATTCTTATATCATGTATGATGTATGTTACTTCTACAACTAGCATTTAAATGAACAGGAAGCTCTTGGGAGAGTTAATGATAATATAGCATCAGACAAACAGCTATTTTTGGAACCTCAAAAATTCTTTGCCAGAAATTGATTTATGTGAACCAGACAAAACGGTGGGGCCCTGAAAATGTGTACAATATAGACGACTACAAATCAATAACAGAAATGAAAGTAAGAATGGAGGAAAAGGTAGGGAAAGGTTTGTAGAAAGAAGCTTATCTTTGGCTTCTACGTCTCCATGGTTAATTCCCCAGTCAAAGTCATCTCCTACTAGTACTGGTAAACTGTAGCCACAATTGCCCTGGGGTACACTAACTGAGGCAAAGCTGTAAATCTGTGCCAATTCACTCACACACCAGATCCATCCATCCATTTTCTACCCTTACACACCAGATCCATTCTAGATAATGCATGTGAAGTGTGTTGCCTAAAGACACAACTGGTACAATGCATTGCCCCTTTAGGCTAATGTGGGTCTTGCACAGAATCTTGTACACGGCACAAAACTGTCAAAACACTTGGAAAAATGGATGTGACCGCAGCGATGAGGGACATTCTGGACATTAATTCTCTGTCAAAAATGATCATCAATAACTTTCTACCCCCTGTGTTTTAATATACTCACCCCAGCTGTTAGCGCTACATGCACATCTACATATCATACAGGAAACTTTAGTCTGACATTGCAAAAAGACAGAAAGTCATGGGTCTAAACATAGCACATTAATGGATATATCTCAGGCCCCTTTTAGCCTTTGGCCACATGTACGCGCTCCGCAAAGCCAATGGGAAGCCGATCGATCACTTTGCCAATATCTGCAAAGACAAACTAATATGTTTTGACAGAGGAGGAAGGGGAGGGAAGGGAAATAACTTAACAGCATTACCTGGCCTATTTAACTCCTGCCAAGATAGAAATTGGTTTGAAGAATTAATGAGAAGCACACTTTTCAGTCAACAGTGCAAATTGAAAGTTTAAAGTATATATTAAAAATGATAGAGCACTTTCACACACACAAAAAAACAACCTTTTTGTTTGAACATTTTCACTTCATACCAAAACGTTTGACAGTTTTGAAAGTTTTTACAATATAGCCTAAAGAGAAGATAGAACAACTCATTCAAAAGGATTAAGCTATACTTCCCAGTAGTGTTATAATGAAGGGCGACAGTAGCTCAGTTGGTAGAGCATTGGCCTTTGAGCCTGAAGGTCGTGGGCTCGAGCCCACCGTAAGACCTACTTCACAACTCCCACTGATGACTGCTGTCGTTGTGTCCTTGGGCAAGACACTTACAGTAACCCTACTTTGCCCAAAGCCCCAACTGAAAAATCTCAGCTCCTGTGGACTCACCACCAGGAGGATCAGTGAGGGGCTGGTGCTATGTGTACTGGGTGCAGCTCTGACTGCCACCCCCCCGACCCAGAAAAGGATTAAGGGGAAAAAAATTGATGGATGGATGGTGTTATAATGTCCTCTGCATTTGACCCTTCCTGCCATGCCACTAGTGATCAGTACAGTACAGCGCCCTGGGAGGGACTTACTGTATCTCCAGATGTTGATGCTCTGGTAAGTCAGGACTGGAGCTGAAGGATTTTGCCGATTGTACATTTTTTTTAGTAGTAGTGGAAACCTTGGAAGACATGGGAAGAACATGCAAAGTCTACTCAGAAAGGGCCTTTCTAGATGGCAACCTAACCCTAAACAAACCCAGGACCTTCTGGCTGAAACGTAGCAGTGCTAACCAAAGTATAAATACTTTCTCAAAAGAGCATCTTGTTTTGATGAGTGTAGAAAAACAACGTAATATGGGTTTTAGAGTTTTTCGTTGCCGATGCAGGAGGGTCCGAGGACAGTGGTGATGATCCAGGACACTCAACATGCGTCAACATTTATGGGCATTGGTAACCGGCCCCTTATACTGGTATACTGGTCCTGTTGTGGCACCCCCACTCCCAAAAATAACAATTGTAAACCGCTTTGAGACTCCGATGTGCAGTGAAAAGGCGGTATATAAATAAAGATTACTACTACTACTACTTATGGACCAATGGCTCTATTTCTTTTCATCATTTCATTGGCGAATTTGACGGTTTTGCAAAGCCCTCCGAGATAACTACTGTTGTAATTCAGGGCTATACAAAATTATATGGAATTGAATTGAATTGATATTGGATTTTGAATACTTTGAAAACCCTACTTTCCTATTTATTATTGCACACAAGCTCTCTGAAGTGTCATGTCCTGCAGACCTCTCCTGTTGCACGTCGGTCATGTTTAAGTAACGCGCTGTTGGCAGAAAGTAGTTAGCGCTTCTGTCACGGAGGTTAACAAGGCATAAGAGATCCACTGACAGACAGAGAGAGGGAGGGAAAAAAGGGGGAAACAAAGGCCGGAACATGTCAACCATCAAACACGCTGTATGTTAAAGACAAAGGGCTTCACACGGAATCTCCACAACACAAGAAACATCTTGTCAAAATGTCAATAATAGAAGTTAATATTTGGTTAAGGACAGTATTGTCAATCACTAGTTTTCCTATTTCTCGATTTTGAAATGCCTACGTTGGCACCACATGTTTGTAAAGAACTTTTTTATTTAGTCGTCAGGCCAAACATATATGGTACAATAAATACATGAATATCATGTGTTTATTGCATGTTTTAATCTTATGTAAATATGTATTATTTCTTTGAATATGTTCATTTTCTCATATCCTATTGTAACACTTTTTTGAGTGACCAATTTGATGTTTAAAATGGCTTCTCATAAAGACGGCCCACTGCCAAAAAAACACTGGTGTATAAGCACAGTGTGCAAAAGTCCTCTCTTTTTGACACTTCTATCTATAAAAGCTGAGGCCATAAAATGTATGAAAACTCATGATAGAACCAAATATTTTTTAGATCAAAGAACTACTGTAATTTCTAATCTTCTAATAATTTTGAAATTGCCATTTTATTATTGTTTTGCAAAGTTGGTAGCCCAGCTTTAAATTCTTGGCGAAGTTTAGCATTGTTTGAGTTTTTACTAATGAAAATGTGTCGTCCAATTGTATTCATGATTTGTTTCTACATCTATCCCCTTTGTCATGCCTGCCACGCATAGAATCGGTGACAAATGTTTTTCTACTCTATTACCATAGCCTAATATCACTGGATAATAGCTTGATGTAAAGAAAGCCTCGTCTCTCAAAACTTGGGCACGATTGTAGGAATTTTGAGTGAGAAGAAACTTGATCGACAAGACGCGTCCAGGCCTGAGACGTGATCAAAGCCTCAAGCGAAGCGAGCGACTTGCGATGTGTTAACCGGGACTTCGACGGGGAAATAGACACTTCCTTCTGTCTGTCAACCGTGTGATGTGCCCATGTCATAACAACAGCTCTGGGACAGGACATGCAAATCAGAAGAGCTTCAGCTGGCATGAAAAAAAAAGAAAAAGAGTAGCATCCATTGTGAGCATAAAACAAGCCGTGAGGATTTTAGTGTTGCGGGCGTTCTTGCACCGTCAGTTGTGCGTATGACAGAATTTGACAGAGCAAATAATAGCATCTATCTACTTTACCATAGCCATATTTTGAATAATTAGCAAATCCTCAAAGATCCACATGATTATTGTATGTAAGAAGGAGTGAAGAGACGGTACAATTGTAAATACAATTGAAGTTGCA